CCCCCCCCAACCCCCCCGCTGATGCTGCCGCCCCCCCCAACCCCCCCGCTGATTTAATGCTGCGCCTGCGTCAAACTCTGCACCGTGCTGCGAAAGTGCTGCGCCTGCCGCGAAATTGGTACCTCTTGCAAAAGCGCTGCCCCTGCGGGGCTGCCGCCCCCCCCAACCCCCCCGATTTAATGCTGCGCCTGCGTCAAACTCTGCACCGTACCTTGCGAAAGTGCTGCGCCTGCTGCGAAATTGGCACCTCTTGCGAAAGTCCTGCATCTGCCGCGAATCTGTCCCTGACCTTGCAAAAGTGCTGCGCCTGCTGCGAAATCTGGCTGACCTTCCGAAAGTATTGCGCCTGCCACGAAATCTGTACCTGACCTTGCGAAAGTGCTGCGCCTGCCGCGACCGCACCTTGCGAAAGCGCTGCGCCTGCCGCGAAATCTGTACCTGACCTGCGAAAGCATTGCGCCTACCTTGCGAAAGTGCCGCGCGTGCCACGAAATCTGTACCTGACCTTGCGAAAGTGCTTCCTGAAATGAATAAGTTTTTTTTGATGCCTATAAGTTTTTTTTTGATCCTCTGATTTTTCATTTTAATAGTAAATCAATGAGCATAAGTTTTTTTTTGATGCTTAATAAGTTTTTTTTTGATCTTTAGAAATAAGTTATTTTGTGATGCCTAAAAAGTTTTTTTTTGATCCCTCACCCTAACCAAATGGCCCACCCATTTACTGGGCTCCCCTATTTTTCAGGCAAAACTGCAATTCTTGAGGTCTTGGCTTGCGAGTTGCCTAGACATTTGTGGCTTGGATCCAGGCGCTGCGAGCTGCTGAGACGGCAGGCCAGCCTTAGGGGAGGGCTATTACTTGGATGGCAGATGGCGAACGGCGAGTGTACAGCCATGCATTGCCAAGAGACATCAGCATCACATTTGCTCTCGCGGGCGGCTGACTAGCCATGATTTCTCTTGAGCGTCATATTTGCTCTTGCGGGCGGCTGATTTTGCTCCCGCCTCGAGCTCCAAGCATGGTGGCAGAGCCAGGCAATGGTGGCAACCATGTCGTAGGCCAGGAGAGCCAGCGTTTGTCCTTGCATGAGGATGGTTCATTTATGATTGCCCCACATGCACTAAAAGGTCATCAAGGCAAGCTTTATGTGCGAGATATGCTGTACTCACATAGCTCTGAGGGCATGGAATTCCCCAGTTTTTGCTGCGGGGTTCTACAAAGCAGAAGGTCGACCCGGATTTTGTTGAATCCCTGGTTGATGAATAGATTTGAGAGGGGATCCTTCACAAATCCCCCCCCCCCCCTTGTGACGCTTTCTGCGAGGTGGTGCGCTCCGTTCCGGCGCGAAGCTGGAAGGCCCATTGCGGCACGATAGCCAGACCCAGGACCCGGCCGAGTGTGGCGAAAGGCCGAGGTGGCGGTTAGGGGGCTTGACAGGGGCCGACCGCTGTCCGCGGCTTGAAGCTCAAGTGTCCAGCGTCGGCACAGAGAGTACATTCTGTGTATCAATAAGCATGGAGCCTAGCGCCAGCTCACATTTCGGCTGTGACATGCCTCTGCCTCTGCCTCAATTTGCGGATGGGCTCACTGTCAAAGAGTTTGGGGGCTTGTTTGTGTTCTTTCTGTGTTGCACCTTAGAGGCATCGCATATGTTTGGACCTCCTTTTTGGTTTTCCTGACACTACCCCCGACCCGTGCAGGACAAGGTTGCAAGAACCCCAGCCACTGCGTCAGCGGGGCGCTGAGATTTGTTTGATAGAGAGATTGAACACATATCTTGTTAGGGGAATTGTGCAATTGTACCCCGATTCAGTGGAAAGCCCTTCCCCTTGCTGGCAGGGCTAGACTCTTAGGGTTCGTCACAACAGTCCTGATGATTACGATGATAATAATGATGATGAGGACGACCACGCCAAGGACCATGATGAGGCAGACCTGACTCCCTTTTCGTCATCCTGATTGAACGGAACAGCAAAAGCATTAGAAGTTCGCAATGTCGAAGTGTGCGCTTCTGTGCAGATTTACTTCCCCTGGCTTATCCGAGGCCACCCGGTCCCTAAATGGGGCTGGTTGCCGAGGCAGGGCGGAGCGGGCAAGATGGGAAGGTTATTCGAATGTCGGCTGTTCGGGTCCGGATTCGGTTGAAGCTTTCGTTCAGTCATTCTTTGGACTTCACCGAATGTTGCAAGTGATCCAGCCACAATCTAGTTGCTAAGGGATAGCATTTTCAGAGAAACCCTTGTTCTTACTCGCACTTTTTTTCCTTCTGTTTTAACCTTTGGCCTGAACTGCAAGTGAATCTGAGTCTAAAATGGGCAGCAAATGCTCCTGATTCCCGCAGGCCTTGCAAGCCGGCATGCAGCGGCCTGAGCTGTTGCCAGTCAGCTGGCATGACATAGCTTTGATGGATGCAACTTGGGAGATGCATCGATCTGGTGGACTGACATGGAGGCTTGCAGCTGACAAGGAATGAGCTTTGACCGCAGATGCAATAGGCTTTAAACTCTCGTCTACGGTCCACCACGCTTGCACAGATCCCTCAGATGAATACTGGATGGCCCTTGGTAGGTATCATGCTGACAAAATCATCAGTGCAACAAAGATGACCCTAGACTAAGCTGCACGCTTCTTAATCTTATCTATTCTCTAAAGGAGGCTTGTAAGCTAGTTTCTTTTAATGATTGCCCTGTGAACAAGCTAAGATGCTTGCACGGCAAGTCGCTTGACTGATGCCCCGAAGCAGCTAAAAGGGCTTTTGCAAGGCTTCGATGGCCACATCCAAGGCGGTGACCCAGCCAGGGGCGCAAACCCTGCCGGTTCAGCTCAGGTCCCTCGGTCGGGAGGGGTCCCCCTCCAACAACTGCCACCAACCCAATGAGGGGGGAACCAGAACAAGACATGCACACCCTTTTCATGTTGACATGGACAGCTTCTGTGTTTTTGGAGAGCATGTTGGCTTGTGCCAGGTCCGGCCTTACAGGAGGCGCGTCACAGACAGAGTGCTGGGGGGGGTCTTGCCTTGCTTTTGCAGATTTGCCACCGCTTGGATTCAAACAAGGGTCGGCGTGTGAGGCCAGGCTATAGCGGAGCCTGTGGCACCAGAGGCGGGCGTTTCGGGCTGGGTGAGGGCTGAGCTCCAGAAATTTATATGGTTTTGCCTATTTCATTCAGCCCCCAAATGGAATGCGTGCAAGAATCCCGTTCTTGCGGCGACATGTTAAGCGAGACTCATCTTTTTTTCTTAATGGTGGTCGGGCGGCAGCTTGGTTGGCAAAGAAACTGGAAGCAGTCATACATTTTTGGGTTGCTCCTCCAAGCAACCATATCCCATCATGTTGAACATTTTTCCCAATACGAGGGGTCAATTCCTGTCATTGCGTGATGGTTGGAATGGGCGCCAAAAGGGTTTCCGCCACTTGGAATGATCCCGAGGTTTGATGCACTTTTGAGACACTCGTGGATTTCGGGTGGCTCGGTCACTGGGCACCTTGAGTCAAGCCTTGATGGAATGTTGGTAGGATCCTCTTAGATCAATTCTTGAAGGCGTGCATGCGCAAGCAGCACCAGCCAAACACAGGATACTGTATCGTCGATAGTTTGTTGGGACATTCGCATCATTCACGGACGGAACGTGTGTTATATATGGGCCAACAATTGTGTCTATAGGAAGGTGTAGACATTGTGGGAAGTTGGCAACAAGGCAAAGCAAGCAACACGAGCTAAGCAAGCCATCAAAAGCTCGTGTCGGGAAGTTGGCTGTTGTCTTTTTTGTAAATTGAGCTGGGTAGCTGGGTTGCACCATGCCGAGGCCGCGCCGGCAGCGCCGGTTTTGGCCGACAGGAGAGAGGCCTGGCAAGAGTGGAGTGGACCAAGTGAACCAAGCAAATTGTCCCTTCATTGAGACCTTGGCCTTTGGCCCGCCTAGCAAGGCCGGGTTTGCACAGGTTCGGCATGTCACTCTTCAGCCTGCCTCAGGGGTGGAGACGCAATCAAATTGAGCGCACGGAAGCCCAGAAAAGCTGACACAGTGGTTTGGGTGGCGTGGCTGGAAAGGAGTCTTTTGCGGAAGTTAGGAATATCCCAACCGCGCCCTTCAGCAGGTCAGGAATCACTCCTCTTTTCACTTCCACCGAGGTTGAACAGCCCTTGGGAATGCATCATAGTTTGGGATGCTTGCAAGATGACCGGTTCTCTCGGGCCTTTCAGAAGCCCACGGAGCCGCGTTGGTGATGTCGCGGGCAAAACACCTGAGGTGCAACTTCAGCCTCGGGGATGGCGGCAGATCCTCACGGATAGGTGGCGGCCCAAAGGCGAACAGATGCCATGGCCCGCTTTTCACTTTATGGCAGCGTGTTTCGAAACTGAAGGTCCTGACTCTTTGTACTACACCCTTGAATTCTGTACTCAGCGCTGGTCCTTGATTTCATGGTCGATCCTGGTTCCCCCTTTGCTCTCCATCCCCAGTATTTCTTTTCTGTCTTTGTGTAGTTACCATCTTATTTGTTCTTTTACATTGTTAGCATCTGAATGGGGGGTGTCTTGAAGTGGGGCTCCAGCGTTGTTTGGAGCACAGGTTTCACTCATGCCATACGCACAGATGTTGAGAACTGCTTCATGCTTGGGCCACCTTGTAAAGGCGCCGAGTTGGGCTGAGACGCATTTTTTCTTCACAGCCTCGCTTGCACCCCGAGGTCGTGCACGCTTCCGCTGATGCAAGCGTTACAGCTCTGTTGAAAATGGCAGAGCTTGTACGGTTAATGAAAAGGTTGCGTGATGCCCCTGCTTGCAGTGACAATCAACGATCGCATGTGACTTGAGCTTCAGCACCGCTGTTTCTACGGTTGGAAGTTTGTGCAGCATCCTTCAGTACGCAGTGAGGACTTAGTTAGCGAATCCTGACGATAGCAAGGAAAATGTGCGTGTGTGTGTGCCAATGCTTGCCACTTGCACGTGTTGCTGTCCCTACCAGACTCTGAGCGTCTTGCAACATCGGCTACTGCAGGGATACCAGTGGGTGGATGGTCCTGGGGTGGCGGCCTCATGTTACGAATATGGAGCCAGGAGGGTGGGTTGTTTGTACTTGGTTGTTGGTTGTGAGTTCTTGATTGCGGTTACCATGGTTGTGGTGCGGTGGTCGGGCCAAGTTGGGGCGCTGAGGCCGAGAGAGTTCCCCAGGCACTGGCCCATGCCTGGCGCATGGAGGGTGGGGGTTTATCCTTTTTAAGAAGCCTTGGGTCAGAGAAAAGCCGCACTCTTCCTACAAGGTATGTGAGTGCGATCCAAGTTCTAATGGCCTCAGGCCTCTGCTCGAAGTACATGTTGGTGTTCCTCGGAATTCTACGTCTTCCCAAGGGGGGAAGGGGGTGCATGCAGCTTCTTTTTGGGAGGTGCAGCCGCCACATCAGCCAGCACAGGCGCGGATAAAGAAACAGGAAGTAGGCAACTGAATCGCCGGGGCAATCTCCCGGCCCAGGGCTGTGTGGGCCATGCATTCGTCGAGATCAGCCACAGGGAATCCAAAGCGGCATTTTTTCATGATGTACAAGAGCGATTTATTGGGATATGTTTTGAATCGGTGGCATTTCTGGATGCATGCACTGCCCTAGTTTCTTTTTGGCTCTCACTTCTTGAGGCTCCATCTTCTGGCGTCCCAATGTACTCGGCACAATCCCAGGCGAGGGCGTTGTGTTCCGATTCCCGGAACACCTGTGGGGAGAAAGAAAGACCGGGTAAGGAGATATGATTCACTTGGGTAATTAAGACGTGGTCTTGAGAAGGGCATCCTAACTTATGACTCCGGGCACTTTTGCCAGTTCCAATTATTGCATTGATAGGCGACTCACAAGAAACCTCGCTTAGGTGGCCGCGCTACGTTTTTTTTTTTTTTTTCCATGGTGGCTCACTGCACAGCGTCGGGTGAGCTTCCAGTCATTGCACAATCGGCTAGCGACAGGCTGGTACCCAGTGGGTGGACAATCCAAGCCCGCCTCCTGTACAAGACATGGCGGGCCTGGCATGTCACGAGCTGCGCGGCATGGCACGCCTTGGGCACGAGTGTTTTGGTGGTCACACGACCTTCGCAGGAATGCTCCACTCAGACTTTTCGAACACTGAGTGATTGAATCGCATATTGTCGAACTCAGAGGGTAAAAGGAAGCCCCAATGGATTGGAGTTCATTGGGGAGCCGTCTACCTATGTTTGGCTTGTTGACGCTGTGGGCAAATTACATTGTTTAGAGAAGGAACCTTTTTGCAGCCAGGAATGTCTCGCTGCAAATTCAAACGACCCGTATCTCACAAGCGCGACAATGGAGCTTTGCAAAACATATACAGTTAGACTCCTACTTTTGCGGCCTGCGTTTGTCATCACTTGAGTCATGCGGCCCAGTTGCCAGGTCTATCAATGGGTGGACAGCCCGTCTTATGGACGCTCGGCTGCGGCCGCCGCACATCACCAGCCCTATGTCCAGGCGCGTTGGGATGGATGCGGAAATACTGAATCGCAACCCTGTTGCGGAAGGTCCAGCATGTCTTTTCGACACCAGTATTGGGAAATAGATAATCTGTGTGTTGGGCAATGGGTGGCCAAAGGTCACTTTGGCAATGCGAAGAAAAAGGCCCCAAGAGGAGCCATGATGTCATCATTTCTCCCCAGGGCTGATTCAGGCAAGGCTGCGCGCATGCTGGCGATCCACTGAATTTATGCAATCGATTGCTTGCCATGCGAAGTCCGGCCCTACGCCCATGAGCCAGGCACCAACCAATCCGTACTACCCAGGCCAGGCCCGAGCTAGCGCTGCTCAGTCCATTGCGCAGCAGCATGTGAGATGTCGAAGTGTGAGTTGCAAAGTTACAACGAGTCCAGGGTAGGGTGAGAGGAGGTGATGAACTGTTTATTGCTCATGCTCCCGCGTTTCTGCCCTCGCCTCGCCCTCCACGGGGAAAGCAGATGCTCGAGAAAGTCTGATTGGCCAGGGGTCGACCCCTACGGAGCTTTGCCGCGACCAATGGACCGGGGGTATGGGAAGTTGGGGCATTTGTGCCGTGGTTCCCGCAAGCTCGGAGATTAGTAAACGTAGCATTCCGTTTGCCACGCTGGCGCCTTAAGCAGGCCAGGTGCCTGAAGCAAAACATGAGTCGGAAAAAAGAACACATTATATGTGTCAATGTCAGGCATGATCCCAGGTCTTTTGGACCTATCAAATTAGCTGCACCGCCGCTTGTAATTTGAATGGCAGGAGTGTGTTGCAGGAGCGGCCGCGCAAGTCAAACATGGGGCCGCGCAAGTAAAGAAGTGAAGCGCAAGTGACGCAGTGATGATTCATCATCATCATCATCATCATCATCATCATCATCATCATCATCATCGTCATCATCATCATCATCATCATCATCATCATCATCATCATCATCATCATCATCATCATCATCATCCGCATGATCGAAATAGTCTGGAAGATTGCTAAATTTTCGCGCAAGTTTCGCGCAAGTCGCGCGCAAGTCGCGCGCAAGTCGCGCGCAAGTCGTAGATGCCTTGGATCAGGAGTGGCCCATTTCTGTAGTTTGCATTTTCTTTGTTTCTGCAGATCCCAGCAATGAGTTGCAGCAGCAGCCAGCAGCAGCAGCAGCAGCAGCCAGCAGCAGCAGCAGCAGCCAGCAACAATTTGCAGCGGGGTACACACCTGAGACCTCATACACTTAAGGGGCATGTTTTTTGGGGACCTCACTTGGATTTGCAATGAAAACATCCTGGGATAAGAGTTTTAATACTTTTTTTTTCCCCAGCTCAGACATGTTTTTGGGGGAAGGGGACACTGTGCAGGATCCAATGCTGCAGCCCGGCATCGATCCCTTGAGACCAGGGCAGGCCGGGACTCCGCAACTTGCGCGCCGGACCTTCCGACCTTCCGACCTTCCAACCTTCCGACCTTCCGACCTTCCGACCTTCCGACCTTCCGACCTTCCGACCTTCCGACCTGGGCCAGGGACTGGACCCCATCGCTGCGCAATATCAGGCGCCGAGAGTGAAGCCCGGTCACAAGATTGCTGCATAAGGAACAGGCGCAGAAGGGTGGCACGCACACTTGGGGCTCAGTGATTGTTTTGGTCCAACAACCCACACGACAGGGGCCTTAAAGCTATCTTTCTCTTTACAGGGCCGGTCTGAAACAAAGCTTGGATGAAACTACACAAACTGCACTTGAGATTAAGTTCAGAAGACAAAAGCTGCCCAACTCATACTTCTCGAACGATGAGGCCACTTGTTTTGCAGGCATTCTTGACAAAACCAGGCTAACAGCAAGACTGATATTCACTTGCCCACCACGATGTGGCGCATCACATGTGCACCAGTTGGCACAAAGTTCTGTATTGCCAGTGTTTGTTCGGTTTTAATCCGCCTGGATTGATTGCCCTCACACAGTCGAGCTGTTGCAACCTTCCGCATGCCCCGCACCCCCCCCTCCCCTTCTCGCGGAGGCTGGACTGGCATACGGAGCCGCTCCAGATGCCAGCCGCTATGGGCACCAGGCGCCGCGTTTCGGGTTTCCCTTTGGGAGACGTCGACCACTGGCTTGAAGTCTAGTCCAGTGGAACCCTGTGTTAGTTTACTTGTTCACAAAGGCCGTTGCTTTTGAGATGATTGGCCATGCCAAGCTTTGCGCTGACCCACAGTGAGTTGGCAGAGTGGCATGTCTGTAACCAAGTCTTCGCAGCCCCAGTCAAGGGAGACATGTGCGCTGGCGCTGAGGCTCCTTGATTTCAGCAAGCTGATTCGCGAGAGATTTCTCCTGCACTTGTTAGACTTGAGGAGAGACAGAGCGGCAGCCGCTGGTTGGCGTTCCTTCAAATTTCCTGTGACGCCGCTGGAGGGTTTGAAGTTCACAGATGACATTTTTCTTGCGCACCCGCAGGCTGGCATGGCGCCACCTTACGCACCAAGGCGCGCATGAGGAATTGATGGGGAGAACGGTGTGGGAAACGAGAACCAGTCTGGTGCGATCTAGAGCTCAGCAAAAGGCAGGAAGAGTGCGGAATTGCCAACCCAGCCCCCTGGTTGTTTGCCTGACGGCGGCACACTGGCCATTGTGTCATTCAGACCTGCACGATGATTGTGGTTCAGAGTGCGACCGCTTTCTTCCTCCATCTCCTCCTCCTCCTCCTCCTCCTACTCCTCCCTGTTCTTGCTTTGTAAGTTGCAAGGGGCGAGCGGTTCGCTTCTCTCTTGCTTTCCGCCTCATGTGAATTCTTCCTAAGAGCACTGAAGAGGAGCTCTGGCGACTGCAGCCCAGCTGCGCACGCAACACGCATTTGCACGCTGATGTTGGCAGGCAGCCACTGGGCATGGAGGACTTAACATCAATTCGTGCTAGACTCAGGCTGCTGATATGCTGATGGTGTTCACTTCTCATCCTTTCCCAGTGCCAATTCTGATCTGATCGCTCAAGCAGCAACGTCGAGTGGCGTTCTCAGGAATGGGTGGCAAAGGAATGCCGGGTGCCATGGACTCCTTCGGGCAGGCTGGACAAGCCCAGGCTTGTGCCAGAAACCTGGTTGCTTCAGGTGAGATTGTCTGGGTGCGTTTCCAGGGGGCTTTGGCATAGCTTGGGATTGCAGATGGTTACCTTTTGCCGGGATCGCAATGTTGTCCTGGGAAGATGTGTGGAACGAGAGATTCTGCGAGCTGCCTTCTCCAGGTGAAGTTTGCCTAGTTCAACATGCTTGTGACATGGAGGGATGCTCACCGTCAATGGGCTTGAGTTTCTCAACTGCGGGTCCTCTTGCCAGGTTGGCTATGGGCATGATGGAGGAAAACGCGGCCACTCTGGCAAAGGGTGCGGCCCTCTTGTGCATGTGGCATATGGCATGGGCGGATAAGTGCTTTGGAGACTGAGGCAGACTGGGCCTTCCCGGGGTCGTCACATGGATGACGGGCACAGCTTCCATGCTTGGACAGTGTGACCTCTTTCGTCAGGAACTGTCAGCCAAGTGATCAAACCTTGGCGGAAAGAGGCTCTCCCCATTTATTGGGATAGTCACAGTGGATTAGCCAGCATGTGAGCAATGGTCAATTTCACCGTCAGCTTCTGGAGTTGACTAAGGATGTGCACGCTTGCATACCAATTACAATTTGGATATAGGCTATAGGGTTGCAAAGCAAGCGCCTCTGTCAGGTACTCAGTTGGGGAGGATGTATATTGACTGCAGCTCACGTGGTTTTTGCATGCTGGGTGTAATTCTTTTCTTGAGGGTAGCCTTGGGCCAGTTTCAGGGAAGGCGATGTTGGGGCGGATGACTTTTTCCTTGCACGCCAGGCGCAAGGGTCGACAGGCGGTGCCTCCGGGCCGCCAGGCGCTTGCCATGTTTCTGGGTCGGTGGCGAGATAGTTCCCTGGGCCTAAATGGTTTGATGGTTTGTGTCCTTTACCGAAAGGACAGGTTTTCCACCTGAGATGTGGCCGCTTGATCTGCACCGAAAAAGTTCAGGTGCGCTTCACAGCTCTTGCGCGGCAGGTGGACGGCAACAAGGGACAGGTGGACCTGGGTCAAGCAGCACTCGAGTGGCCCCGGCCTGTCGTGGACGCGAGCCGATGTTGGGATTTGCACACCTAGAACAGCCAATGCCAAAGGGAATGAGGACATCCTAGAGACCAGGGTTACATGGGTTTTGGTGTTTTGACCAGGCAAGCTTTCCAGCTTAGCGAGAATTATGAACGAGTGCAGACAGTTGATGTCGAGAAGCCAACAAAAACTGGTCACGCTTTGTTTGTTTGTTTGTTTGTTTGTTTGTTGGGTGGCTTTCGGCCAACCCGCGCAAGCCACACGGTAGATTGTTTGCCTTTTGCCAGGAGCCTGGGAGCAGACGGTTTGCGCCAGATGCTTATCACCACTCTGGAGTCTTTGTACCAGGAGCGTGCCACAAGAGCTCAGTGGCACTACGTCAGGGTGCATTCCACAACTTCTACAAGCAGGATTGGATAATGTGACAAGGAAGTCGAAATCATTAGCCCCGCTGAGCCAAAGTGTAGAAATTGGATCATTCGCCGCAGCCGGCCAGCAAGCATGTTGGAGGACCGCATCAAGCCGATGGCCAACTACATCAAGGGTCGCTTGAAAGAGAGGCTGGCGCTCAGAGGGAATTGCTAGAGGATGAGCCTTGGATCATGACTGTCGATTCATTGAAGGATCCGGAGGAGGATGCATTCGCTACAGGTCGCGCAGCATCAGGTTTTGCAAGGGTGAGCGCCAGTTTGTAGACAGCAGCCCTCTCACTCCTTCATAGCTCATTGCCTTATCTTCGAGTTGGCCAACTTGTGGGGAAAGCAAACACAGTACACTGGCATGTCAGCAGGCTGACTCATGTCGTTTCACCGTGTGTCAGCCCGCAAAATTCAGAGGTCAGTACCGGACATCATCGTGAAGTCCTTTGAGGACTTGTACTCTCAACACCCGGACCTTTTCGATGCCAGAGTCTCAAGTTGGGCTGCGGGCACTCTTTCGGCTTAGATATTCAGCCACGGACCATGGACGACTGGAAGCGGAATATGACGGTTTTGCCACTTCTGCAGTAAACAAATGTATAGCATTTGGATGCGATCTTTGTCAATGCCCTCTTGCGTCCAAGTTGAAGAGTTGCTTAATGTGACAGGAAGTGGTGAGCATTCGCTATATTTTGTCTTTGCATTTGTTGGAATAGGCGGTCGAATTTCTCTTTGTCCGTTAAGAGCATCATCACAATCAGCTCACCCTTAACAGGCTTTCCGGTTGGTGGTTGATTAGCTGGGGCGGAAACAAACGACGGCAGTTGCATTTCATGCAACTCAGGTGCAGAACCCAAAGAGTGGGGAGGAGGCGGGCATCGGTTGCATGTTTTTGGAATTTTGGCCATTCACTCCGATCTACTTGGCCACTGACCATTGCCGCCTATTTCTTCCTGGCTTTGAGTCATGGCACGCATTTGCTCCCTACCACCAATCATTTTGCTGGCTTTGGCAGGTTCTTGGCCTGGCGACCGGGATATTTGATAGCGTTTGCGGTGATAGCTACTGGTTTGCACTCCCCAGCTTTGCTTCGCATTTGCTTTTAGTTTTTTGTTCGAAGCTCTTGCCACCTATGATACATATATATATATGTATGTATAGATGGTGCCGTCCTGTTCCCAACCCCACCCCCCCCACCCAGTCATACAGGTACCCTCCCCCCCCCCCCCGCCCCTGTGGTCCTGTGGTTGGGTTGTGGGTTGGTGTAGGATGGGTTTAAGGTTGGTTGGGTTGGTTGGGTTGGTTGGGTTGGTTGGGTTGGTTGGGTTGGTTGGGTTGGTTGGGTTGGTTGGGTTGGTTGGGTTGGTTGGGTTGGTTGGGTTGGTTGGGTTGGTTGGGTTGGTTGGGTTGGTTGGGTTGGTTTGAGGGTGGGTTTGCGGTTGGATTGGAGCTGGTTTAGAGTTGTTTTTTGCGAGATTGACGGCTGTGTGCTCTGGGGGTGCTGTTGCTGCGCTTTTCGGGGGTTCTGTTAGAGGTGCTGGTCTGCAATCATCCGCCAGCTTTTCGCTATTTGGGGCCGTGTATTTTTTCTTCGAAAAGTAAAACTCTGATTGGCGACGTGGCTGGGAGTTCAATGCCAGTTCGGTCAATGAGGTTTTGGCATGCTCCCTTCGACGCGGATAGATGGCACGCTGATTGTCCTGAAAGACACTGCAGAGAAGTTTCCTAGCAGAGACAGGGGAGACAGTTGGGACTTAGGACAACCGCCGAGCGTTTCATTGGAATGCAACAGAGGGAAACGAGGGTGGCCACAGCTCCATTGCAAGTGCGAAGAGCGCCCGGTGTTATTTCAGGGCGGTTTGATGGTCAAGGTGGACTCATGTAGTTTAGCTTGCCGCATCCTGCAGACCACGATCTTCTTCCACAAGCCACCAGCTTGGTTTAAAGGCCTGGAAAACTGCTTCGATGGCTTGCACATGTCGCAGGGAAGCTGGACACATGTGGAGACACATGTGGAGAAGACACGATGTTAGACGGTTTGTGAAGCTTGCCATGCTGAGATTACCTTAAGGCAAGGAGTGCAGTCGTAGGCTGGGTGGACATTGACTCCCCTGATGATCCGTATGACGAGCAGGGGCCTCAGCGAATGCAAGTCTTGTGCCGCAAAAGCAGTCGTACCTGCTTTGAGTGCGATGCCTTTGGAATTGTACTGTTTTGAATCGCAGCGCCAAGTTGCACAGCTTTCTTGGGCAGGGTCATGTGGAAAGAGCTCGCAAAGTTCCTGGATGGCGAACACACATTTGCGGGAGGCGTGGGTGCATTTGCCCCTGATCACAGGTTTGCTGACACACTTCAGGGAGCGCCAAGATCACAGCAGATGATCGCGCCTGTGGAAGTGGTTGAACAGGTTTCACAGTTTCGCCCTCTGGGGTCATTTTTGGTTCACGCCCCAGCTCCTTGTGGTGTGCCAGTGACATGGGAGGCCGTTACGGCATGGCCCGTGAGCTCATGCAGCTGGGGAGCCCGATTGTTGAAGGTTCCGACGGGATTTTGGAAGCTCAGAGGTTGTTTACCTTTGCGACTGCTGACTGGTACAACCATTCTGGGCATTTGGAATTTTGGGAAGGTGAAGACCTGCCTTTGCTTGGTTTGTGTGGTTGAAATGGTCTTCGTTTTTTTGAGTCGGCTTTGCCGCGTTTTGTTCGCTTAGGCGCAATCTCCCATTCCTGGCCAACTACTCGCCGTTGGCTCAGTGGCTCATGGCAGATCATTCATCACAATATGCATGGTTTCCAACAGTTTAGCACAACGTGCAAGGGACATTCAAGCCGTTTGCTTTGCTACCGAGCGCTCGTGAGAGCCTTCACAGTAGCGTTTTGCAGCTGGTTGCATGATTGAGGCTTGGGGAGGTTTGCCGCGAGCTTAGCAAAGATTTTGGGCTGCTGCTCAGAGTTGCTGAGACAGAGAGACAACAAGACTGTGCTGGACAGAGAGACAGGGAGATAGAGAGAGAGAGAGAGAGACAGAGAAACAGAGAAAGAGAGGTTTCTGCGTTGATTTCTTTGCTCTGGATCCAATCAAGAGAATTCCAGCCAGATTGTTGTTTCCGGACTTGAGAAATCCGCCAAGGCCACATCGTGCAGCTGGCCATCCAGCATCGCAGGCATTTGGCACTTTGGGTGCTCCCTGTGAGCTGACTGACAGTTGTTTTGCCGGTGGCGGTTTTTCCGAGCTGGTTTGGTGGATTGAGCTTGACTCAACGTTGTTCTTGACTTTCGGCAAGGCTCATCGTATACCACCGCAAGATGCTGAAGTTTTGGCCTCAGTGTTGTCACCCTGGGCGCTTTGTAGAGAGGGCAGGCGTGCCTTGAGCGTGGGGGCTCAAGGCCGATTCAGACAGTGCTTTGCCAATTATCTCCGGATGGAAATGGCAATGGCTGGTGCCTCAGGAAGCTTGACATAACATGCAGGGTTTGCTACGTAACCCCCCTGCAAGGTCAAATGAAGTGTGGTCTTGGAAGATACTTGTTTGCCACACGCCAACATGCATTCGGGCTGTGAAATCGTAGCGCCATCAAGTTGCCTCCTTGTGGCTTGCAATCAACGATACAGCCTGGATTTTCGTGCTTCACACACTTGCTTGGTCGGGGGTTTGAAGGCTGCTCGCGAAAACCCGACGCTAGGGGCGGCTGACAATGCAGAGGAGCTGACGGTGGGTATTTTCTGCTTGCCGACCACCAAAGCCTTGACCATTTCTGACAAGCGATTCCAATGCCTTTGCTCATATTGACTCATGTGTTCATGATGTGCTTGATCCCTAAGTCTTCGTAGTTCTGTTTTTTGGCCGGTGGAGTGTATGTTCAAGTGCACTCTCGGCAGGGTGAAGAGATCAAAGAAATGGACGACCTGACCCTAGTCCTTTTCCGCCGCTTGGCTGTCACGTTTGCATGAGCGCTGACGGTCTTTGATACAGGGTTTTATGTGCGGGACGAGCTCTGAAGTCCTGCGATGGCGATATGACGACGTGAACACATGTCACTATAGCAAGCTTTTTCATGCACGAGACCGGGGAACCGTGCTGGGTGCTGAAATGCCGGACGGACTAGGGAGGTTGGTACATTCTGGCAATGTGACTTGCTTTAACACATGCAACTTCATCATAGGGTTTGTACCTAGCCCAGCTGCGTGCGACATACGGTATGTCATGCTTGTGGTGAAATCTTCGTTTCGTCGTCTCCCTCCCCCCAAGGTATGCTGCTGCACCACCCGTCGGGCATCAGGCTTTGCCGGCGGGGGGGCCCAGAGCATGCTGCGCTCAACGCGGCTAGCCATTCGGGAGTTGTGGGCTATGTGGACCATTGGCTTCCAAGGATCTCTTGCTTCACTTTGAATCATGCACACCGCTCCGGGGCTGCGCACATGTCCTGATCGGTAAGTCTGACGGGAGGCTTGCTTCTAATGAAGAACAAAGTGTTCCCTGGAAACCGCAATGCGTTATTCTGAAACCGCTCCATCTCGCCCTAGGATGAAGCAGATGATCAAACACGAGTTCCAAAGGAAACTCTCGGAGATGGCATTCCAGGCACGAACAGCTGAGACAGGTGCCGAATGTCGGTTTTGGGCATGCACGTTGTTTTACCTGACCATTCGTGGCGCCGTTTGAGTTTCTCCAAGTCAGCCGCCCTCGCCCGTGCAGTGTACCAAGCTTATCGAGCTCTTCAACCAAGAGCCTCTCAACGAGACCTTTGTCCTGGACACTGAGAATGATGGAAAGCCTCCTGCCCAGAGTGTTCCCTTGCCTTTGCTCCTTTGTCTTCGAGAGCTGTTGACTTCTCGCAGATACAGGCATGCAGCTGAGCACTTTTTATCGCTTTCCAACTTTCACACACTTTCCAGTCTGGTCTTAGCATAGTCGTAGCTGGGGCTAAGGTCTATCTACGTCCGTCTGGGCAACCCAGAGACGTTTACGGATCACGTCAAGCGCAACTTAGCTGCACTGTGAATGAGTAAGTTGAGAAAATTGGGTGAAAAGCGCAGGAGCGAGCAATTGAGTGCGTGCGCAAGAGAGAGAGAGAGAGAGAGGGAGAGAAAGAGAGAGAGAGAGAGAGAGCGAGAATTGTGTGTGCGTTTGCGCACTTGAGTGCGCGACTTGGTCACGGGGTTGATCGCTTGGCGAGCGTTTGTGCTTCGGTCCAAGATCGCATTGATTGATATGCCTTGATCGGTTACCCCATCTCAAAGACCAACCAGCGGAAGCTGGGTCCGGGCGGAGAACAAGCAACACATGTATTGGGCATTCTTCCATGTCTTTAAGGCCATTCGAGGATAGGTAGCCTTTAAGATCAGTGTCAACCTGTGGCCCACTGAGACACATTTGCCCATCAACTTTAAACACGCACGTGCTGAGAAATGTTACTCAGGTATCTATGCAATGGCAAACTCCGCTGAAGCGAAGCAGGCCCAGCTCCTGATTTGGCATGTTTTGCCACTGAAGAAGCAGAATACAGAAGGTGCAGTTTATTCATGTTTGGGTCCAATTTTCCTTATGCTTGATGCTGATGCTGGCACAATTGTGTACGTATCAGCTTTTTGTGTCAGTGAGAGCAAGAGCTAGCAAGGACATACACACAAACATATAAGGAATTCCGAGTTTTCAGGAAGCACACAGAGTTAGACCATAGCTTGTTTCTGTTGTTTGGAGTTTACTTGTGCCCTGACTGCAAAGCAATATTTTTTTGTTTCAAAACACGGGTGGCTCTTCAATGCCGAATTCAGGTTAGTGACACCAACTTAGGGCTTTCCCTATTGCAGGACTGATTCTTGCGACTAGTAGAGGACTCAGCAACATGAAGATGGTCACCTAGCACAAGTCCTTTTGCAGTCAGAAGAGCCCGAGGTCCGGTTGGGACTGGTCCTTCTATGTCCTTCGATGTTTAAACCAGGCTGAGTTGACGGTTCTTTGGGGCGGTGTGTCAGGAGACACTCTGAGGTTCTTCTACGCGGGAGCGCCGAAAGCAAAGTTTCGAAAAGAGATTTCCACGAATGGGTTCCATGCTGGAGCACCAGAGAGGGAAGGGCTTCCTAAAAAATTGCTTCCCTCGGATTTGTGGTTTGGATATTACCCCCCTCCTCAACTGGGAGGTGGGTGGGGCCTCCAATTCCAGGAAAGTGGATCTACAAATGGATTTTTCCGGGGCAACCCCTCCCTCCATTCCATGTTCAAGGAGGTGGGGATGTTTGGATTGGTGGCTAGGTTGGGAATGGTGTGCCATTTCTCTACAAAAACCAGGGCAATGCCATGGATTTTGCCGAGCGAAGACCTCCGCGAGGCATTGCCTGGCCTATCCCAGGCCTAAGCAGAGGGAAGGTCATGGCCTTGGCTTCATGTTCTTGAGCATGAGAATTGGAATGACCCCTATAAACCATCCCTTGTGGTTTTCTTTAAGGGAGTCGCTGGGCTCATTCCCACATGCCCGACTGAGCACCAGCAAGTTTTTGTTGGTCGCTCCCAAGAATCTTGAACCCTTGGGATGGTTGATGCACTCAAGGCAGGAGTGGCATCTTTTCAGGGACAATTCAAGCCTGAGTTGGCCGAGTGTGTTGCCAGCCTACGCGGAAATTGGGGGGTTTTGTGTGGAGTTTGTGTTTGTGGGCAATTTGTGTGTGGGTGTGTGTGGGTGGGTGGGTGGGTGCGTGCGGGTGTGGGTGTGGGTGTGGGTGTGGGTGTGGGTGTGGGTGTGGGTGTGGGTGTGGGTGTGGGTGTGGGTGTGGATGTGGATGTGGATGTGGATGTGTATGTGTGTGCGTGTGTGCGTGTGTGCGTGTGTGCGTGTGTGCGTGTGTGTGTGTGTGTGTGTGTGTGTGTGTGTGTGTGTGTGTGTGTGTGTGTGTGTGTGTGTGTGTGTGTGTGTGTGTGTGTGTGTGTGTGTGTGTGTGTGTGTGTGTGTGTGTGTGTGTGTGTGTGTGTGTGTGTGTGTGTGTGTGTGTGTGTGTGTGTGTGTGTGTGTGTGTGTGTGTGTGTGTGTGTGTGTGTGTGTGTGTGTGTGTGTGTGTGTGTGTGTGTGTGTGTGTGTGTGTGTGTGTGTGTGTGTGTGTGTGTGTGTGTGTGTGTGTGTGTGTGTGTGTGTGTGTGTGTGTGTGTGTGTGTGTGTGTGTGTGTGTGTGTGTGTGTGTGTGTGTGTGTGTGTGTGTGTGTGTGTGTGTGTGTGTGTGGGGGTGGGGGTGGGGGTGGGGGTGGGGGTGGGGGTGGGGGTGGGGGTGGGGGTGGGTGCGTGCGTGCGTGGGCGGGCGAGCGGGCGAGCGGGTAGGTGGGCGTGCGTGTGTGGGTGTGCGTGTGCGCGCGCGTGTGTGTGTGTGTGTGCCTCCTGTTCCTAGGGGTCTTCGGGATTTTGCTTGGATCTTGGAGTCGGACGCCACCTTCATTCATGTCCTGACGTGCAGTAGCCAGATTGGCCGTTGGCGTCCCTGAAGAGGAGGGCCAATCTCGGCGAACACTGTAACAATGTTCAGGCATGGGTGAAGCCGAAACTCCATTGAATCTTAATTGAGTTGCCTGGGGTGCGCCTTCGCAGTTTCGATGTCCTCCATCAAGTGTGTACCGGCGCTGGTTGCGAGCCACCGGCAGTGTTGTGGACCCTTCGGGGCATTCGATTTGCCTCATGCGCAGACCTTTTCCTCTGACCTTTACCGACTGACCTTTACAGCTGACCCTGGTGACCATTGCCACTGACCTCTTTTCTGCTGATTTTGACCCTCACCGCATCACTCCCAGGGACCGTTTCCAACTTTCACCAGACCTGCGTCATGCCGTTGCCCTCGGCGCATCCGGCTGGCGTGATGAAACACCCTACCGCAGGCCCCATGTCGGTCGGCGCTGCCGGGGTGCTCCGAGCGTCGGGCCACCTGGCGTCCCTTCGGGATGGCGGTGGAGATTGTGATCTGCGCCTCTCACAGCGCTGAGGAGGCGCTGACTTTGATTTGGAGTAGTGCGCCGATCGAGCGTTGCTCGGGTTCTTTGCAATGAGCGGTGGTGTAGGCGGCGGTGGCATAGACACAGGCAATGGCATAGACACCGGATGGCAGACGGGGTGCGCTCGCTGATGAAGCCCTCGCCGCGGGGTACTCCGCCGGCGGTGACCGACAGGCAGATGGCAGCGGAGTCGGTAGAGGAGCTGATGGTGCGGTTGCCGAAGGAGAAGCCGAGGACGCAATTGCCGAAGGAGGCGCTGTGGTTGCAGAGAGCGTAAGTTGCCGAAGGAGCGCTCGAGACGGAGACCGAGTAAGCGCCTCCGGTGAGGGGGCATACGCCCCGCCGAAGAAACTGACCTTGGCGCCATGGGTCCTGCCGAGGTGGGGCCGCGGCACACTCGCTCTCGCAGCCGAGCCACCCACGCAGTCGTTCATCAGCCACCATTTGGCCATCTCGCCAACACGGCGATGACTGTCCGGGCTTCGGATGATGACGAGGAGTCGGGAAGACTCATGTCATCCAACTGGACCATGAGCTTCAATCAAGCGCAGCTCTTGATTTGCGGAAGGGCAGTAGGGAAGTGCACCCCTGTTCGAAGTGGAGGGGAACGGGCAGTCATCGATCAACAACCCTGACCGGCCCAACATCGTGCGCCACGTATCCGGACGCTTCCGCCTCTTCCCGGAGCCATCAACGCTACGCCTGCATGCCCGGCACCTTCACTCGCGGCTGATGCGAATCGTGTTTCGCTGTTACCTGCTCCATGGCGGCCTGATCGATCTACACACCAAGACGGTGTCCACCGGCCTTATGGGCCCTCCTCGAGCGAATCCAATTGAGCAGTAGGCGCGAAAGAGGAAAAGGCCGAATTTCATCTCACCCTTTTTGTTCTCTCGGGTTTTGGTCTGTTCGGGGTTTCCTTTCTTTTCCTTGGTTCGGCTGCCCCGTGTTCCCCATTCGGGGTGTGTGTGTCTGTGCCCCCTGTTCCTAAGGGGTCTTCGGGTTTTTGCTTGGTTCTCGGAGTCGGACGCCACCTTCATTCATGTCCTGACGTGCAGTAGCCAGATTGGCCGTTGGCGTCCCTGAAGAGCAGGGCCAATCTCGGCGAACAATGTAACAATGTTCAGGCATGGGTGAAGGCGAAACCCCATTGAATCCGCTTTGGGTCTCTTTTTCAGTTGCCTGGGGTGCGCCTTCGCAGTTTCGATGTCTTCCATCAAGTGTGTGTGTGTGTGTGTGGCCGTTGTCTTCGTCGTCGTTGGCGGGTCGCTGTCGTCTCTTTTCTGGAGCCAGTCATGCTATGAGGTTTGAAAGTATGGCTGACGGAAGACGCCTGCATCTGCTTTTTGTGGGGCTGGTCGGCTGGCCCAGTGGATTCGATCGGTCACAGCATAGGCGATCCACCAGCGCAGCCGGTGCAAAAAAGGTTCAGAATATATAGGAAACCTCAAGCTGAAACACCGTGTGGAATATCAGAAGATATCTTTGGAACAAGTCGGTAGAGGCGGTCCAGTGTTGGTTTTGACTGAAGAAGAGGATGCGCCTCGAAAAATCTGGAAACAGTTGCATCCAATGCAAAGTTTTTACGGATGCGACGAAAGTGTAGAAGGCACTCCATTTAATGATGCACTGCGGAAATGTGTAGACAACAGTGTTTTCTCAGTTTTCCTGTAGCGAGCGAGAATCAGATTGAGATTCAAAAAACAATCAAATCTTTGAGAGCAACTTCGCAGATTTCTGGACCACTGTCAAACACTCTGGGTACTCTTCCTGCTGTGTTGGATTGAACTTATGGGTTTCGCAACAGTTCTCAGGAGACTTCACATGTGATTCAGGAAATCATTCTCAATGGCTTGTTGATGTACAAGAAACTTGAGATTGTATGGATGCCCGTGTGAAACAACATGGAAATACAGCTTTGTTGAATTCATCAGTGTGCTCTGGGCTTTTCTATAATTGACCAATACATTAGGTTATCTAAATCCACATCCCTAGTAATTTCATTTCAGGCAAAGTGGACAATTCCAGCAGGAACTGCTGATGCCGTTGTGGGGCGCTCTCAACACACACACACACAGGGCCACTAGGGCAGTGCACGGCACTCTGATGGTCAAAACCAATGGCCAGCCCTCTTGTGGTTACCCTAGTTGGATCCAGTTGGGCTGCTTGACTAGCAACTTAGCTTGGTTTGGTGGCCATTCCTGCGATTGGCGATTTGCCAATCCAACAATCGATCTGTTTGTCCGAGGCTATGGACTCTTTGGATGAGTTCATCATTTCGGTCACGTTGGCCTGATGCAATGCGAATCGGACCGCCCAGGGCGCCAAGGGCTGGTTTTTGGAAGAAAAGCAAATGCTCAAGGGAACTTATCGCATGTCTGACACCCTCTCAGCATATCTTCCTGCCAAATGGCAATCTCTAAAGTTGCCACATGTTTTCCAGTTACATCAGTGTTTTCAGATTTTTTAGCTGGAGCTCGTTGGACTATGGTGGCTTTCTTGAAGGTGGCCACGTCCGTTCTGGCGCTAAGAGCAGAGGACTGCTCTAAAGATGATGCAGTGGCACTCTTGCAAGGTAAGCCTTTGGAGAAGCCTACTCGATGTTACCGAGACCCAGAAGGCACATATACCCTTCTCGATCTCTGTACAGTAATTCCATCGTGACTCAGGGTTTGCCGCCGCCTTCCCTCTGAATCAACACATCAAAGGGATCCCAGCTGAACAAAGGTTGATCTTTGGGGGCAAACAGCTGGAAGATGGACGGACTTTGGCAGATTACAACATCTCCGATCCGGAGCCACCCTTCACCTGGTCACCTGGTCCTGCGAGTGAACTAGACATCTTCAACTGTTGTTGAGTCACTTTCGTTGCTGTTGAAGTTTCGCATGGCCGTGCAACAGCCACGTCATCCAGGTACAAAAAGAATGTGCGTGCGAATCCAAGCGTGCAACCTTGACACGAAGAATTCCAAACGGACAGACTGCAACAAGAGGTCAAACTTTGGAAGCCAAGAAGCTTTATCGTTGGACGATTTGGTTTTGATTTGTTTAAGACTAATGGGCAAGGTCCAGCAACGCTGATGGGCATTCTTCAATCAGGCTCCGTGTGCTGAGGTAGTTGATTCTGATATTTCCTGATCTACCGAATTGGAATGATTGATAGCATTATTATTTCAGTGTAGTGAGGAAGTACCTGGATTTCATGGTCAACCACCGAGCCACCATTGGGCCCAACCCCAGCTCGGCATGTTGCTTCTCGTTGGAACAAGCTGCTGGCTGAATGTGGGCCAGTGGTTGGCTGCCGTAGCTATTGGCTTAGGCCAGGCACCTCAGTTGCATTGAAGGCATGGCTGCTCGGCTCGCCGAGCAGCCGCTCAGTGGGCAAAAGGCCTATAGCGTGGAATATGGCGCCTGTGAGGAGGCGATCTGTGAGGTGATCCTTGGCTGGGAAATAGCGGGAAAGCAGACGAGGGCACACACACGTATACATATGTGATTATATATACACGTGTCTGTATATATATATATATACAGATGCTGCCCTCCTTGAAATACTCAGGCTTTTGGGCTAGAACTGAGGTGTTTGGCCAGACTGCGGGAAACAAATGCCTTGAGACACAAGAGTAGTGCGCGAAGTATGCTTGGCATCTTGAATGTGCCTGTAGCAGTTCCATTATTTGGTTGTTTGTATTTTTGCTTGCAAGATAATTTTTAGGAAATCATCAACTTGGGGGAAAGGACCTCATTCCTACTTGCACCTGACATCCAAATCAAAAATAAAAGGGCTTCACTGCATTTACATCTTAAATAATTTTTGCATACTCCCATATACATTCTATTTCAGTTGGTTTAAATGATTTTTGCAAAGCAACTATCTCAGTTGCGTTCTGCTTGTCTAATTTGGTTCAATCATCATCAATACCCAACTTTAAAAATGCGTTCGAGTAATTTCAATCGTTTGCAGTTTCTTGTGTTCAAAAAACAATCGGAGCACATAGCTATTGTCATGGCCCGGCAAATTTAGAATCAAACTCAATTTCAACAGGGTTATTGTCCTCATCAAACTCCATGTGGTTTTAACCAAGCAAGAACTGAGCCACGCCAATGACAGAAATGTGTTTTCAAGCATGTATTTTGTTATTTGCATAATGCGCTATAAAGCGCTGTGTTTTCAGCATTTGCTATCGAAGATCGAATATTCAAGATTCCACAAACATATTTATAGAACATCCTCCCTCCTGGCTCCCCAAAAGTTTGACAGTTTGTCCTAGACTCATTGAGGACTTTCCCCCCGTATAAGGAAGATTGAAGATTTACCAGATTCTGTATTTCAGAATCTTCCATCCTGGCCAGCCCACCAGTCCACAAAGAAAGCTGTACAGTTGTCAGGCAAGATGTTTCCCCCTGGCGAAATGAAGGCGGTGCAAGTGCACATCCACAAATTGATTCTGACAACGTGCGTGTCTGCCTTTTGGATCTTTAAACCCATACACAGGGAAATCCTGGAATGAAGATTGAATATTGATGTACTAGCACGTGCGATCGCGTCCTGGATTGAAGACAGATCGAAGGTTCTCAGACCGCTTGTTCTGGAAATCTTCAGTTCCATCCTTACAAAGCGCATCCTGGATTGAAGATTGATAGCGCGTCCTAGAATTTAAGTCCAAAAAACGGGGGTGCATTTTAGAGCATCAGTTTTAGAAGCTGGAAAGTGTGTTTTACGTTCATTTCTACAGCCAAAATGCCAATTCTTTTCAAAAACTTGAGTATTTCAGCGGGGGGGGTTGCCATAATGATATATATATATATATATCTATTTATAAATGTGTATTTTTTTACACATATATATGTACATATATATATATATATGCAGATGCTATCCCCTCAAAACCTAGGTTTCATTACGTTGAGATGAGAGGAGCAAGCCATCTTCCCTCCTCACGGTCTAATTCTGAGATATTGAAAGTGGGAAAGGGTACGCAGCAAGCGACCCTAAGATTCAGAAGTAGATCTAGGAAGGTGTACTCCTCCATCATTAGTATCAGGTATTTGTTGGATGATATTTGTCTTTATTGCTTACAGGCTTTTCACTCCTTTTTTACATTTTGATGAATAGTGCATACCTTCACAATATTCTGATTGAATAATGAATCTCCAAATATCAAGATACAATGATATGCCATTTGTTTATATATTTCCTCGTATTTGTTTCCTTTTGTTACATTTCTTGTTTATCTTGTCTTTATCGATGTCATCCAATTGCTCCTAAAGCCAGTTGCCAACAGTATGACCTCATATCAATGCATCTCGGGCAAGCCTTCTTTCGGACTCAAGTGTATCATGTTTACAATCTATGCATTTGCTAGCATACTATCAATATAACATGGACGTATTCTCTGCTCCAATAATTCTGTGCTTCATCTCTTATCATCTCCTCCATCATACCACTCTGGAATCAAGGGTTTCTGGTGGAGGCGTTATGGGGAATGAGGAAGTCAATCAACGCCAGGCTGTTACCAAAGGCTTGCCTTCTTCATCCAAGCTCTCAGGTCTTATAATGGCTTGTCGATCCTAACACTTTTGAACATATTGACGTATAACTATGCCTCTTTGCTTCTTCTTTAGAATGCTTTTATTTGGACATCATTGCATTTAGAAGTTAGAACAGATTCAACTTTTGTCATTCTAATCTATATATACATATGTATCTACTCTTGGAACTCTTGTGCGAATGGGTCATGACCAAGTTCATTCAGAGCCCATACCAACATCCAGTACGTAGCAAAATCGAAACTCTCTGGACCAATGCACGTTGTTTCCATTGTCGGCACTTTTCATGATTTTGCCTTTCTCCAGCAAGAGAAAACAAGAACACAGTATAAGTTTCGACCCAGGAAAGTAACACGCGCAACTCTCAAAACCAAAGTGTCTTTTCCTTGAAGAACCTTTTGTGTTTTGACTTTCCCCAGTAAAAGTAATGAAGCTCGACTCCCTTAAAAAACAAAACAACTTTTGGGATTACGGTTTCATTTTCATGGGTCCAACAGTTTTTTACTCTTTACTTGTTTGCATATTCTGGGGAGAAGTAAAACAGTAAATCTTGTCGAATGAAACAGTTTTGCTTTTTGAGAGTTTTACCTTTTCGGGGGAAGCGTAGCAAACAATGCAGGTATTTCTGTCAGTGTTCACCCGCCCGAACTAGCTACGTATGCATATCCCCAGTTTTGGGGTCATCTTGCCACGGTTTTAGGTCCACCAAAGGAACACACTTTTTTGTTTTAAATACCATCGACACACTCCAATCCAGGGAGTGGAAAAGAACACATAGATTCAAAAAGAAACCTCGTCACAGGACAGGGTAAACTGGGTTTTGCTTGGCGGCAAGTCTCAGGTTTGAGCATTGCGAATGACGCTTGCTTCCTTGCAGTGTTGCCCTGTCGATTTCTGAGGACTCATGCTGGGGCAGAGATAGCACGCAGCACCTTGATTATGATGCAGGCCGCTCAGTCCATGGCCTTCACGATCGTGATTGTGGACTCGTATCAGGCAGGGCTCGGGTTGGTTCGGGGCTGTAAACAAGAGTTGTCGTGTATGGTTGCGCTTGCAGCTGATATTGGCAGAGCGACAGCCTTGGATACTCTGAGGTAAGCAAAGACATCGGCGCCACTCCCGCTGACTCGGGACTGCTCGTCGGTATGTTCATGGGTGGCGGTATGGTGGGCAATGCAGCAATGACCGCAGTTCTGCACCTCTTCCCAAACGCTTGGCAAAATGTACGGTATTGGCTCTGTGTCTGTCACGTCTTCAATGTCTTGCCTGCCGTGACCTACTTGCATCTTGGCCGCATGTTTTTTGATGGCCGGCCCGCCCAGAGGAAGGAGTCACATGTTACCAACATTGAGGTGTATCTTTGTTTGGGGAACCGCCTTTGTGTTGCCAATCATTTTGAGGGTTCCCCATGTCTAAAATAAAGCAAATATTGAATAAGATAAACAATGAGGCACACTCATTTTTGTTTTCTGCTTCACATTGAATGCAACCACAAGGAGGGACGCTTCAAAACCACCGCACGGAGGCCGACTCACAAGAGGAACAGATGCGGGGAAACCCGTGGAATGGATCAAGTGTCACAAATGCCAAGAATGCAAGGCGAGTTTCCTCCCCGGAAAGGTGGAGGGTGTCCAACACTGCGAAGGTGGGTGCATAGTTGCACCACAACAAACGCAAGCATGACACCCAAGAGCATGAGGTTTCAATGGATTTCTCTGTTTGGTGGTGTCCTTCAGGCCATTCGCGAGAAAAAAAAGAAAAAAAAAACACGGCCCGGACGAGGCCTGAGGATAAATTTGGGATTCTTTAAGCCTTCTCCGGGCCCCGCACGTATTGCAGACACACGAACAACTCTGTGATATATATATTTTTTTTGCTCGCTGGCTGCCGTCCAAGCAATTTTGGTTTGGGAAGATGAGCTTTCCTCTCCGGGCACCTCCGAACAGCGCCATCTCACCCCTGGACTGCCTGCAAGGCTCCCGAATTTCTGCTCGCTCGTTGCTGTGCTCTCTTTCTCTCTCTCTCTCTCTGCGCTTCCCTCCCCGCACTTCTCCCCACTCTTCGTTCCGCTCTGAGATCTGCTCCCTGCTCTTCTTCCCAACTCTTTGCCTTACTCATTGCCATATGTTTGTGCACATTGTAGCTTTGGGTGTTGTTCCTTTCTCATTACTCTCAAAAGTGAGCCGGCCTCCCAGCGCTGGCGCGAGCTTTCGTTGCCTCCCCCGACCTCAAGTATCTCCACCCATCCATTTGCTTTTCACCCATTCATTTGCTTTACCCATGTCTGTGTTTCCTTCTGAGGTATCTCCTTTACCACCTCCAGGCTTTGGGCGGCCGGGCTTTGCCTTTGCTGCTGCTGTGCCGCTTCTGCTGGGGCCTTGGTAGCGGACTCGCGGGCCAGCTCGCGCATGTGGTGATCACCCAGGCGGACGGGCCCGGAAAGAACCCCAGAGAGGCGGTTCCCTTGGGCTTCCCCATAAACGGAATTTGAAGGTTGCCCCCAAAAGGACACGCCGACATGGTCGCGCTTTTTGGGTGAGCATCCTTTTCCGGCTTGAAGATTGAGCAGGGGGCTCAGCCATGCCAGGGCAATGGACCCAGACAAAGCATTCTGTCCGAAATACCAAAACCAAAGGCACCAGTATGCGCGGCACCTTTTTGCGTATTCTTTGCATAGTTTTGGGTAGGCTGCTGTGATGCTTGTGTGTCACTTGCGCATTTCCATGCCGGTTTTCCTTGCTCCTTGGAGTAAAGTCGCAGGTCACGCCGCTGGCGGAACTTCCAGATCAGATGCAGAGGAAGTCCTTTTGGCAGACGCTTGTCTGCCACAAGCGAATTTTGTAATCCGAAATTATTGGCTTTCCCTTGTATTGCATTGCTTTAAGCATCCAACACGGGGGTCCATCAGAATCATGCAAGTGCAAACCGTCCAAGACCCCCAAGAATGGATTCTTGTGCTGCATCATATTTACTGTGCTTTGGTGGATGCTTCTTTCTGCTCGAATGCGAAGGTTGCCTTGTAGTTGTTCTGTCAAGCTTGGTGGGCTGCATGTGTCAAAGCTTAGAACCTGAATTGGCCCTTGAACCAGAAACTCATGATTTGGAGGTCCTCAGTTTTGAGACCCACACACGCGCGTGCATGCACACGCATGCACACGCATGCAAGAAGTATTTGATGGCGCACTTGAACCTTGCCAGGTCAATGGGCATGGGCATGGGACCACTGGCAGCAGGAATGGCTCTTTGGATCTATGATTTACTTCCTTGGCAGTTCGGCCTCGAGATTGGCGCCTCCTGCACATCTCTTATTTTGCTTCAGCTGCTGCTGGGGTTGGCGATCTTGCGCTGCCCACAATCTGTGCAGCAGCACGAGCATAAGCCGGAGGATGCTGAAGAGCTGGGTCACACTGGCTCAAAACAAATGATTTTCCTGGGCGCTTGCTATGTACTCTCTGCTCTGCGTGGCTATTGTCTTGCTGGCACTGAGGTTGGAACAGCCCTGTTGTTAGAGGCGCGCTACCATTGGTCGCGCAAGGAGATCGGTTTGATCATCGGCTGGGTCTTCATTGCCACTGTGCCAGCACGGGTGGGCTACCTTGCGAGGAAGGACCGCTTTAGTGTGGTGACCTGGATCCGAATCCTGTCCTTGAGCGCCATAGTTGGCGCTACCATCCTCTTCTCGTCCACGTTTCTGCCGCATGGCATGAGCCTCATACTTGCCGACCTGATCATGTTCCCGGCCCTTTACCTGGGAGAGGGATTGGTGCGTGGCTTGATGATGCAATCGGTGCGCAGCCACACAAGCATCAGCTCCAACACCGCTTCCTTTTGTGCCCTACAGCTCAATAATTTTTCCAGAGCTTTGGCCCCCTGGTGCGCTCGGTACACCATTTCGACGGGCAAGGGCCAGAACTTGTTTGCTGTGGGTCAACTCATGTGCTGCTGCGCTTTCCTCTGTGTGTTTGAGCTCGGAGTTCAACGAGGCTTGAAGAAGGCCTAGCTCTCGAACCAAAGGGCCAAGAGCCCTAACTCAAGGGCCATGAGCCCTAACTTGGTCGACCCAAGTCATTTTTGGCGCTTGCGCAGACATTCAGAGCCGTCGTCCGTGGCGCAAAAAGCGATCAGGGTATTGCAGGGTGGTCTGGCACAGACTCCTCTTCAGCTTGCGAGGTAGGACCCGTTGAGCAGGTGGAGGCTCGGCTTGGCCGCGAGGTGTGTGCTTTCGCAGCTCAGCACCCAACCCAGCTGGTTTCGCCGGCGAAGCAGCTGCGTTTGGCTCATCAGCTTGCAGAAACATGTTTGCCTCAAACGCAGGCATGTAAGTTCTTGAGAGTCTATTCATTCACCAGCCTTCCTGCCTGACACAGTGTTGGAGAGCGTCTTTTCCACCTAACTCTTGGCTTTGTCTGTGGAACGTCACCGAATGAACTCTTTAGCTTTTGTAAAGTACCCAGAGGGAGCAAGCAGATAAAAGAGAATATCAAAGATATCATCCAAGCTAGTTTGGGCGCATCGTCCGCATGGCAGGAGCACGGCGGGTCCCAATGCTCTATCACAGTCCTGCACTGGGATGGCTCAAGCTTGAGGCTTTATCGGCGCGTCAAACATCGACTTGAAGAAGTGGACCGTGGACCGCTTAGGAAATCTGAACGAAGATAGTTGGGAAGCAGCTTTTCTTTAACCAAGCTGAAGCTGGTTCCATGCTTCGGAGTTCCTTCCGCCCATGCCACGACCAAGTTGGCCCCTTCCAGGACATGAGCAGCATCGAGAAGCCCGCCGCCTCAGAGCTGTTGCGCTGCAGGGGTGTGGGCGATTGGCCATTGGTTCTCGGGAGCACGAATCAGTGAGTCACAAACAGCTGAAGGCTGCTTTGTTTTTGCCTCAGGCTGCGTCAGAAAAAGCTGCAGCGGCAAGCGCAAGTCAATGCCGCTGAATTGGAGGCCGGCAGCTGAAGGCAACGTCACCAGGTGCTTGGAAAGGGACTCACTCAGAACCACGCGCTTGTATTGCCAAGGCCCCAATGCTGGGATGCTTTGGCAAGTTTGTTCCTCCTCTCTCTTTCTCTGCGTCCTTTGGGCGTCTTATGATCACCTGGTCAGATTGGTGCTTGGATCCTTGCAGCTGCGTCAGCTTGCCAGCCGGAAAACTGGAGAAGGATATGCGCCAAATCTGGTTGAACGACTCCAACAGGAACTCGCCCCGCCCGCCAAACAAAGAAGCCGGTGGTTTTCCTTGGATTTCCAACCGCTCGTTGCATTCCCAGCACGTAGGCGCTGCAGCAGCCTGCAGGCCTGTGCCACAGCATGGAACGCGAGCTGGATGTGTCGTAAAATGGGGAAACCCCTTTCGGGACGGGCTTTCAAGGGAAGCCCAAACAAAACCAGCTGCACAGGTCCTCATTTTGATCGAAAACAACAGCTGTATATTCAGAGGATTTGCCATGTTTTGTTGATGCTTTCGTGCAATACTTCAATGGCCTTGTCAGGGGCCCCAGCCAATGGTGCAGTCAGGCTCGGTGTGTGTGTGTGTGTGTGTGTGTGTGTGTGTGTGCGTGTTGTGGCTTCATGCGCAACTGTGTAAAACATAGGGCAAGGTTTGTTGTTGGCCTCTTTGAACTCAACAAAGGACGAAAGGATTCTACATTAGCCCACTCATTCAGTTTCAGATTCGGTACTGAATTTGTTGGTGCTGAGTTCAGGCTTCTGAAAGGTAGGTGATGCTTGTTTAACATTTAGTAGCCAGTTGCCGCCATGAACATATCTTGAAGAACAAACAGCGTTGCAGCAAAGCGGCATTTTAGCATTAAATATTGCGTTTAGCGTTAGTCAATACTTTTGATGGCATGGAGTGTGTGATGAGTGTCCGTCTTTGCACTTGCATGGTTCTACTGGCACGCGCGAACAGAGTCAAGCGGTGCCTGCTTTGCACACTCACTCGTCAGCTGACACACGCACACGCACACGCGCGCGCACAGGCACACATGGAGCTTGTGAGTAGCATGAAGCTCGCTCGCAGGTCGGACGTGGGATCCCAGCTCCTGGCTCAGTGGGTTGGCGTAGGCATTCCTTAGGCAAAGAAAGAAAAGCAGGGCGAAGCCTGGACCACTTCCGGTCTGCTTCGGGATAGCGCCTAGGTGGTGTAGACGGGTTTCAAGATACGGCGGAAGTCTTTGTTTTGCACCACCGCCCTCCCCACCCTATCTCAGGTGACCCTTCCTTAGTAGTTTGGATTGGTGGTTTGGGGATCTGAAGCCCTGGTTCTTGTAGGGGGTAAATGGGGAACCTCCCCAAGCCACCAAACCGCCAATCCAAACGACCAAGTAGTGGGAAGCTGACTATCATGGAGCGCACGAATTCATCTTGGATTTCTATAGTGTCTTCAAGAGTCACTGAGGCCTGAGCCACTGAAGCGCCTGCCCGGCCCACAAGAACGTGAGGTGTTCGGCCGGCCGGGGCAAGCCCGGATTTTTGCGGGGCAGAGCAGCAAAAACGTGAAGAACATTGAAGCACTCAAACCTCGACTGGGCGTGGACCACCAGGAAACTAAGCTGGGACCAACAGGAAGTCAATGGACACTCCTAGCTGGCCTCTCCGGGAACACAAAACGGTTGGGCAAAACCAAGGCCTCGCAGACCCTTTTTGGCACAATCAAAAAGCCAGCGACACGCGGACCCAGTTTAGGTGGCGCCAGGGACAATTCTTCGCAATTTGTTTGCTTGCTTGTTTGCTTGCTCGCTGGCTCGCTTGCTTTGCTTGCTCGCTGGCTCGCTTGCTTTGCTTGCTCGCTGGCTCGCTGGCTCGCTCGCTCGCTCGCTCGCTCGCTCGCTGGCTGGCTGGCTTGCTTGCTTGCTTGCTTGCTTGCTTGCTTGCTTGCTTGCTTGCTTGCTTGCTTGCTTGCTTGCTTGCTTGCTTGCTTGCTTGCTGTTTGTATGCTTTAGGATTTGTTTCCTATTGTTTGTTTGGACCCAAAGTTTGTTTTTCTGTTTGTTCGTTGGTTTGTACATTTATGTTTTTGTTTATGTGTTTGTTTGTTTGTTTGTTTGTTTGTTTGTTTGTTTGTTTGTTTTGTTTGTTTGTTTGTTTGTTTGTTTGTTTGTTTGTTTGTTTGTTGATGTGCTTGTTGATGTCTTGTTTTTCTGTTTGCTTGTTTGTTTGCTGCGCCTTTCGTGACAAGGCCCGAAGTGCAGCCCTTCGCGGCGAGTGGCTGCCCCACCTCCGTTGAGGAGCTCCCGACTTTGCTTCGTCGGCTGGGTCTTGTGCACTGCTTTGTTGGGAGACCAGATTCATGAGGCAGCTTCACATAGTCATTCTTGCAACTTCACAATTTGTCTTTTTTACTTGCGAAGTCTCAAGCAACTTGGCCTGTCCAGCATTGCGAGTTGGGTTGGGCCAGCATGTGTGGATTACATGGATTGGCTTTTCCTATTCCCTTTGCTAAGCATGGGTGACATATGTTGTCATATGCGCAATGTTGTGTTCCCTTTTCGGTTGCTGTAATGCAGGTTTGCCGGCTCTGTTGCATTGTCACAAGCAGAAGCAAAGGCTTATTTGACTCATTGCTTGGCACCACATCATGCGCGACACTGTTTCATCACGTGAACTGCAACTTCTATTGGACCTTTCAGTAAGTCTATGTCTTGTTGTTTGTTTGAGGTCCTGGCACACAGGTACTATGCTATCTATGAGAACATGCGCTGAGTGTTCATTTTCTGGAATGAACGCATTCATGAATACATGTATATATACATGCCTGGCTACCTCCCTGCATACATACCTATGTACGTAAGTGCATATGCAGTTGCTTCTCTCTTGTTGCTCAGTCCTGCTTCTGTGAAATGGTCATGCCAAGGCATTCATGCCTTGACTGCAACCCTGGGCCAAGAGGCTTCATGCAATCAAACCTGGCAAGGCAGTGAACAGTATCGGAGTAGCGGAACTGGGCTCAGGCACCATATGTGTATATATATATATATGTATATACACACATACATGCATATGTTCAAAGGAAGTTTAACAAGAAACTTCCGTAGTACTGGAACTAAATGAGCTAGCTGCTTTGACATATAGCTATGACAGGTAGCTAGCATGACAAATAGATAGCTTTGACATATAGCTAGCTTGACAGATAGATAGCTTTCCAATAGGCCAGCATGACAGATAGATAGCTTTGACATATAGCCAGCTTAACACATAGATAGCTTTCCAAAGACTAGCATGACAGATAGATAGCTTTGACATATAACCAGCTTGACAGATAGATAGCTTTAAGATACATGGATGTGCGCGAAAAAAGCTACGAGAAAAGCTGAAATCAGGAGAGCTGGGGGATAGCAAGTTGCAGAAACGTTGGTGCCATGCGTGAATTGGGCTTCCGGACAGTGCGCAAACCACCTCGGTCGCGACGCCTGTACGGAGGCGGTCTCGGAACGGTCCCGGAACGGTCTCGGAACGGTCTCGGAACGGTCTCGGAGACGGGACCATTGGCACGGCCGCGCGAAGGTTTCGCTAGGTTTGAATTGCGTGGCAGGTGCAGCACTTTCGCAAGGTCAAGTATAGATTTCGTGGCAGGCGCAGCACTTTCGCGAGGTCGAGTACAGATTTCGTGGCAGGCGCAGCACTTTCGCAAGGTGCTGCGTCCACTTTCTGCGAGCTGGGGGATAGCAAGTTGCAGAAACGTTGGTGCCATGCGTGAATTGGGCTTCCGGACAGTGCGCAAACCACCTCGGTCGCGACGCCTGTACGGAGGCGGTCTCGGAACGGTCCCGGAACGGTCTCGGAACGGTCTCGGAACGGTCTCGGAGACGGGACCATTGGCACGGCCGCGCGAAGGTTTCGCTAGGTTTGAATTGCGTGGCAGGTGCAGCACTTTCGCAAGGTCAAGTATAGATTTCGTGGCAGGCGCAGCACTTTCGCGAGGTCGAGTACAGATTTCGTGGCAGGCGCAGCACTTTCGCAAGGTGCTGCGTCCACTTTCTGCGAGCTGGGGGATAGCAAGTTGCAGAAACGTTGGTGCCATGCGTGAATTGGGCTTCCGGACAGTGCGCAAACCACCTCGGTCGCGACGCCTGTACGGAGGCGGTCTCGGAACGGTCCCGGAACGGTCTCGGAACGGTCTCGGAACGGTCTCGGAGACGGGACCATTGGCACGGCCGCGCGAAGGTTTCGCTAGGTTTGAATTGCGTGGCAGGTGCAGCACTTTCGCAAGGTCAAGTATAGATTTCGTGGCAGGCGCAGCACTTTCGCAAGGTCAAGTATAGATTTCGTGGCAGGCGCAGCACTTTCGCAAGGTGAAGTGTAGATTTCGTGGCAGGCGCAGCACTTTCCCAAGGTCAAGTGTAGATTTCGTGGCAGGCGCAGCACTTTCGCAAGGTCAAGTATAGATTTCGTGGCAGGCGCAGCACTTTCGCAAGGTCAAGTATAGATTTCGTGGCAGGCGCAGCACTTTCGCAGGCGCAGCACTTTCGCAAGGTCAAGTGCCAAATTCGTGGCAGGCGCAGCACTTTCGCAAGGTCAAGTACAAAATTCGTGGCAGGCGCATCACTTTCGCAAGGTCAAGTACAGAATTTGTGGCAGGTGCAGCACTTTCGCAAGGTCAAGTGCAAAATTCGTGGCACGCGCAGCACTTTCGCAAGGTCAAGTACAGATTTTGTGGCAGGCGCAGCGCTTTAGCAAGGTCAAGCACAGATTTGAGCAGCCGGGGCTCGAAAATCGCAACTTTTAAGTACGAAAGTAGTACGCGAAGTCAACTTTCGCAGCTGGGGCTTGAAAATCGCAACTTTTAAGTACGAAAGTAGTGCGCAAAGTCCACTTTCGCAGCCGGGGCTTGAAAATCGCAACTTTTAAGTACGAAAGTAGTACGCAAAGTCCACTTTCGCAGCTGGGGCTCGAAAATCGCGACTTTTTAGTACGAAAGTAGTACGCGAAGTCCACTTTCGTAGCTGGGGCTCGAAAATCGCAACTTTTAACTACGAAAGTAGTACGTGAAGTCCAGTTTCGCAGCTGGGGCTCGAAAATCGCAACTTTCGCAAGGTCAAGTACAAAATTCGTGGCAGGCGCATCACTTTCGCAAGGTCAAGTACAGAATTTGTGGCAGGCGCAGCACTTTCGCAAGGTCAAGTGCAAAATTCGTGGCACGCGCAGCACTTTCGCAAGGTCAAGTACAGATTTTGTGGCAGGCGCAGCACTTTAGCAAGGTCAAGCACAGATTTGGTGGCAGGCGCAGCATTTTTGCAAGGTCAACTTTCGCAGCCGGGGCTCGAAAATCGCAACTTTTAAGTACGAAAGTAGTACGCGAAGTCAACTTTCGCAGCTGGGGCTTGAAAATCGCAACTTTTAAGTACGAAAGTAGTGCGCAAAGTCCACTTTCGCAGCCGGGGCTTGAAAATCGCAACTTTTAAGTACGAAAGTAGTACGCAAAGTCCACTTTCGCAGCTGGGGCTCGAAAATCGCGACTTTTTAGTACGAAAGTAGTACGCGAAGTCCACTTTCGTAGCTGGGGCTCGAAAATCGCAACTTTTAACTACGAAAGTAGTACGTGAAGTCCAGTTTCGCAGCTGGGGCTCGAAAATCGCAACTTTTAAGTACGAAAGTAGTACGCGAAGTCAACTTTCGGGGATTGAACATCGCAACTTTTAAGTGCAGAGAAAGATGGGTAGATAGATAGATCAATAAACAGATATAGAGATAGCTAGAGAAATAGATAGAAAGAGATAGAGAAACAGAGATAGACAGAGATAGATAGATTTGTAGATAGATAGACAAATAACTAGCTAGATAGATAAAGAGATAGAGAGATAGATAGATAGGAGATAGAGAGGTAGATAGATAGGTAGATCTATAGATAAATCGCAACTTTTAAGTACGAAAGTAGTACGCGAAGTCAACTTTCGCAGCTGGGGCTTGAAAATCGCAACTTTTAAGTACGAAAGTAGTGCGCAAAGTCCACTTTCGCAGCCGGGGCTTGAAAATCGCAACTTTTAAGTACGAAAGTAGTACGCAAAGTCCACTTTCGCAGCTGGGGCTCGAAAATCGCAACTTTTAAGTACGAAAGTAGTACGCGAAGTCCACTTTCGTAGCTGGGGCTCGAAAATCGCAACTTTTAAGTACGAACGCGAAGTCAACTTTCGGGGATTGAACATCGCAACTTTTAAGTGCAGAGAAAGATGGGTAGATAGATAGATCAATAAACAGATGTAGAGATAGCTAGAGAGATAGATAGAAAGAGAGAGAAAGAGACAGAGAAACAGAAAGAGAAAGAGAAAGAGAAAGAGAGAAAGAGAGAAAGAGAGAAAAAGAGAGAGAGAAAGAGAAGCAAGGGGCCAAGGACAGTTCTCCAAACTATAGTTGTTCACTGCTTTGAAACTTCCGCCCCCCGGCTCTGCCGGACCTTACTTGTATTCATATACGGTACACGCGGGATCGCATGCATGCAACCATTGATGTATAGATGTGCGCTGAAATCATGTAGGTATGACAAAGGCAAATCCGCAGCACGCAACGACAACTGGGACATGAACTCTTGTTCTTACATTTGCATGCTGCTAGCAAGTACCTCCCAAGCAGAATCTGCTTTCACCATAGATGGACAAGTACACATTTGGGAATATACATACACAAGTCACTTGTTGTTTCAGACTATAGCTCCTGTTGAGAGTTGGTTTTTCTTTCCTCCTCCATCTAGAATGGATCCCGGCCTGTGGTATCGGGGTCTGTCCCCGGATTGCTTGTCCTTGTATGGTTCAGCCATTCAGCCATTCAATACAAGGACCCTGGTTGGCATATCGTTCTTGTTGAGAGATGGATTTTTGATTGGCACTGTGGATGGACAAAATCGTGCACCACTTTGAAACCACGGAAAACCATTGTTTGTTGGTACTTGCAGGGGAATCATCATTCCAGGGTTTCTTAGGTGGTGCAGGATGTCGTCCATTTGCAACAGTATGCCGGGTGGGAACTCCCTGGTTGCCAGAGGTTTCCCTTCCCTAGGCAAGCTTCTGCCAGGAGCTGCGGGGCTGCGTGCTCCAGTTCCTCGCCTCGAATTCCTGCCCGGCGCTCCCCGTGAGCGGCGTCGGCGCGGCGCCCCGGCACTTGGGCACCGCAGGCAGAGTGATCACCCTTGATATACAGATGTGTATAGGGGAGCTTGTTGAAGCCTGTAGTTTGGGTCAAAGCTGCACTTTGCCGGAAGGTCAAGGCGGTCTTGTGGATATCAGCTTCCTTCCATTTCAATGGGCTCAAAAGTTGAACTTCGGTCCTGCCTCAATGATTCGGGAACCTCGTCCAGGTCCCTCGATGCTTTTGCTGTTGCCGAGCTTAACCAGGGTCACTCTCCTAGGTGCGATATGCACTGTGCCACATCTCACTGAGAACTGCTCGCGCACCCCACACTGGCTCAGACATCAAAGTCGCACCTGACACGCTTGGGAAGTGGACGCCGCTGAGGTTTGAATGCAGCCTTACGGAGAGAGCATATGAGTGGCACTCTCAGCCACCTTAGCTCCCGTGCGGTGGGGGGCAACACTTGGAGGCTGCAACCCACTCTTTCGTACTTGGATAGCACTATGCGCGATGAGTTTGGCGCCCAAACGATCAATTGTGCCCTGCACAAACACAACAGAATCCATTTGCCGTGCTTCCTATTTCGACAATTCCTATGATCGTGTCAGTGGTGTTGTGCATATAGTTCTATCGTCCACTGTGAGTGAGCAGACAGCACTTCAGTTGAAGGGAGCCCTTTTTTTGTGCAGGGGCCGGGCATTCTCGCTCCTCGCTCTCGATCTTTCGTGCCGCGGCCGCTTGGAGTGCAACTGAGTGACGCGGGGCACGAGGGCAGCGGTCCGTGACTGCTACTGTATTGGGTTGGATCTTTAGACTTGAACTCTTGGGAAATAAAGGTGTTTTCCACTACCCCCCCCCCCCCCGCAAAAAAGTTAAACTTTTTGCAGGGGGTCAACAGCAACCAAGTGACTGGGTGTGTCCTTTATAGGGTCGCCTTTTGTCCATCATCATCAACTTCGTGGATTTAAGACAATTACCTTCGATTAAATACTATACTCTCCAAAGTTCCTTGTTTGGTGGGGGCACAGCAAATGCTGCACGAGAATGCAAGCGAATACGGGCGAACAATCATTTGGATGGTCGCGGAGAAGGCAACAAGGGAACATAATCTAACATAATTGCTTAAAGAGTGCCTAAATTGAAGAGATGCCCAAAGGGAATGTGTCAAAACACCTGGATCTACAGAAGGGAGAGACAGCTATGAGGCTTAAGTATGGATGTCTGACAACCAGGCAGTAGAGATTCCCAACAAAGGAGTTTGGCTCCCACAACTGGCCCTTGCCTGTTGCCTTTGATGAGTCGTTTCAGCTTGGAGCTACGTCCTGGAATGGCAGAACTGTGCACAAGGCACCTTCGACTTTTGAGAAACGCAGCATTTATTTCTGGGATGGGGCGGACATTCTCTTTGGTGCAGACTTGTTTTTCGGGTCAACCAAAGGTCTGGCTTGTTTTGAGACACACACACACAACAAATCAGGACACCGTGGTCGCCTTGCGGTCCATCCTGCAGACCCTGAAGGCATGGCGACCTACGCAGCTCGTGATTCAATAGTCTCAGCGCTAGTCGATTTGGACGATTTGTCGAATTGCCTGTGGGAAGTGACAAATATGTGTAATTATATATATACACACACATGCATGTAGATATATTGATGTGCGCCAATCTCTCACTCATGCCTTCGGGAAGGTCTCAGAAATAGAAATGCCTTCGAAATAGAAAGGAAATAAGAGAGTGACCGGCCAATAATAAAATCTTTGAAAGATGGGCCGGCATTAATAGGTGAGTCTTAGAGATGGACAAATTATGAAGTAAAAAGAAAGAGTCTCACCTATAGATCCATTCCCTGCCTCTTTGTCCGGCAGGAGCTGACATCAGAGACTAACCGACGGAGCGAAGGAAACAGGAAATGGAGAAGAGATGAAGAGATGGGTCCTTTCTTTCACTTATTCATCTCTCGTCGTGAACTCTCTATGAGCTGTCTCTTGCTTGTCTGGTATCTTTTCTATCATTCTCAACTAAAAATCCAGACGAAGTAACCAATAGATTTATTTCTCTTCCTTTACTATTCCTTGCCTATCTTTTGTATTATTGTATTTCGCCGGGGTTTGGATGAAATTGACCCGGCTCTTTCTCTCTTCGTTCGTCTTCTTCAGAGATGTTGACTGTGGGGGCGAGGGAAACAGGGAGGAAGAGAAAGAACGCGCCAATCCATCATAACTCCTCCAATGGCATCTTGAACCCCCACGGCACGTTCCCAGGTACAAAGAGGGAGACCCTTATTTGACCGCTTTTCAAACCCGCGAGCCCTTAGGGGTGGGGTTCGGGAAGCCAATCGCACTCAAACCAAAAGTACGCCTGCCATGGATGACGCTAGCTTCTGCGTTCAGAGTCTATGCCCTGACTACAGATCCCCAGACTAGCGCCACCTCGCTGTTGACGAAGCGCTTGTAGCATGTGTGTCAGTAACGTTGCCCAGCCCACGCGGCAATGTCAAGCAAAGAAGACCCCAATTGCTGTCAAGTTGTGTCAACACTATTTTGGGGATTTGGTGCTTTTCTGTCCGTTGACGACAGACTTGGGTGTTTCCTTTAGTCAAGTGATCTGCCGGTATTAATATTCAATTGGCACGGCAGCATGTTTCCATTTGGTGTTGGTTTATGGGCCTTGGTCTAAGCTATTGCCCTGGGCTATGAAAGCGTATTGCGGTTTCCTCCCTTGAAAAATGTCCCGAATATTGCTCGACTGAAGCTTACCGAGGCTTTGGTGCCAAGTGGGACCCCTTATGGGAATCGAAGGAAGGCATTGGCCGGCGGGGTCATTTTGCTCGTGCATTTTCGGCCCCGGTTGTCAGGATGTGCAATCTTCGGAGGCTCTTGCTGCGCACCCAGGATGAAAACGGCATACTAAAGCCTTGGTTCGAGTTACATGCTTGGGCAGTTGTTACCATGGGTAAAGCACTTTCAGGCTGTGGCTCAAAAAGCTGTCAACTGAATCAATTGCTCATTCGTCTTTCAAGTAGATGGAGGCTACTCCACATGACAGAGGCTACAAATCATATTCTTTGCACATGAAGCGTGAAACAAATAATTACCCAACTAGTTTTGACCTCTACATCTGCATAACAAGCCACTTGCACTGAAGGTGTTGGAGGATGCTGATGGAGACGACGTGCTGATTGTGGACTCTGATCCCAGGAGGACCAGCGTGTTTGCGGCTAGCTCTGTGGCATGGGTCAGGTTGGTCATTTGAGGATTGGTTCATTGAGGGTTCATGAGTTGGTTCATTGGCTACCCCCAGTAGTGCCCTTTTATCCCTTTTTTGGGTGCGGGTTCCCCTACTAAAATAGACTGCAGAAAAAAAAGGTACCCTTATTCAAACCTCTCTACTAGAGGACCTAGTTCAGTCGGATCGCTTCAGAGCTTCAGGGAGTGGGACTGCTGGACTGCTGGACTGCTGGACTGCTGGACTGCTGGACTGCTGGACTGCTGGACTGTTGGACTGCTTGTGTCTGTGTGACAGGATTGCTTCAGTCTTATCTGTCGGCGACGGTCGGGCCTGCATCCCTGGCACAGCCTTCTGCTGAATTGCGTGACGTACATGGCTAGGGCTGCACATGGGCAACATTCCACAGTTGCACTTTCCTCAGTCAATTTTTTTCTCCACGGGCAGGACGAGAGGAAAACACATGAGGGAGGTTTGGACCCATGTTTCAAGCTGTCCGGGGTGTCCCCACCCAACGATTCACAACAGATTTGCATCTAGTGTCACTGCCAGGCCAATTGAGTGACTATCGATGCTCATGACCAATATGTGCAGAATATGAAACGTATGTATCTAGCAATAGTTGGTAAAGAATCGATTCCCTCCCCCCCACCCCCCACCCCCCACCCCCCACCCCCCACCCCCCACCCCTCGAGAAAACAAACAAACAACCTGCCAAAGCAACAAAAGCTCATCCAGCTCCGGCCTGCAAATGAGGCCAAGCGTGCGCGGCTGGACTTGGAGCATGCCATGCTGGCGCCCTTTGCGGTGCAGGCCCTGAAAAGCTTTGGGCAGCACAGGTTGGCGTTTTTCCATCTTCCATCGGTGAAACTCCATTTTGGTTTACCCCCTTGGGTGGTCCGGAGCCCGGTGGTTTGGGATTTGAAGCCCTCGTAACAAAATCAAAATCACCAATTGGAGGGAGGTTCTTTGCTGTTTTCCGGCGGTTCCCAGTGGACATATATGGTGAGTTGTGTGCTTTTTGAGACAACCTTAAACAAGGGGCCCGCAAAGAAACGAAGCGCATTTTACAACCGGGGTCCTTTTGTAGTGCCTGGTTGAAAACGTGTGTGGGTTTCTCCGGCACTGAAAGTGTAGTTCTCTTGGAGTACGGCACAAGCCAAGGACTTTCAGCGGCCTTGAGTGGGACGTCGGCCGGTTACGATTCAGGAATCAGCCTGGAGCAGACAGAGTCAGAGTCACAAGGTAACGGTAGAACCAAGCCTTGTGACGTCCTCTGCTATGTTTGTTCCACCCCAGTTTCTCAGCGTTGCTTGATGCCTTATCCATCCTTATCCCATACGCATAAAGGGTTCCAGCTTGTTCGGCGCCTTCATGAGGTCCATAACATCTGTCTCCGAGTTTTGGTGCACAATTCCATGAGACAGGATTATCAGTCCTGCAGTGCCACCTCTTCCAGAGCACCAGCAGCTCAGGCCCGGAAGTTGATCAATCGTTTTTTTGAGACCCTGTGGAGTCTGGGTTCCTCAACAGGCCTAAACCCTCAGGCCCTCACTTTGAACGTGGGATTCTTTCATTTTAGGAGATGGAGAGACTTAGCCACGCTTGAGCCACAGGGGAACGGGCGACATGCTGAAGTGAGCGCGTGGGCCTAAGTTGCTGGCGATGCCCACTTTGCGATGCGTTTGTGTAGCGCAGGTGTGCTCTGGAGGGGCCATTTGACCAAGCGGGTCAACTGAGGTGGAGGACCTTTTGCAGGCGCCCACTGCGAGACAGCCGGAGCTCCAAGATGGACAGCACTTCCACATCTGACTGTCAGGCGAAAGTTCCTGTCAAGCAAGCAAAAAAGCAAACAAGCAAGCGAGCGAGCAAGTAAGCAAGCAGCCGACCAAGCAAGTAACCAACTGTCCGACCAACCAAGCAACAACCGATTAACACCCGATTCCCCCAAATTTCAGTCCAACACTAGAGCAAACAAACCTTGCTCCATGCCCAGCGCCATGGTTTTTGTTCAAACCTTCGGCAGGTTTTGCTTGGCGGCGGCAACGTGGGTTTCGCTTTGAGGCGGCAGCTCATCGACGCCGGGGATGAGCTGCGGCAGCTGCTCGCGGAGCCGACGGCCCGGCAGAGTGCCTCGGCAAAAACTCGGCGAGGGGGGCGGTTTAGCGGGGGGGTGGGGGGTGGGGGGGGGGGGTTGGGGGGGGGGGGGGCTGGGGCTGGGGGTGGGTGGGGTGGGGTGGGGGGGAGGGAGGGTCTGGGTTGCTGTTGGGGATTTTCGGTGATTCGAGTTGCCAGAGAGAAACCATAAGCTCTGGAGGTCAAGGTGCTAGTTGGATCCGTGGGGATAGGGGAAGGTTTAGTTTATACGGTGGGATTTTGCTCGCCCTGGGATCATTGATGTGTTGGTTGATGCCCTGGGTGGGTGGGTTACTTGCTACGCTTAATATTTGATCACGTGCTTGGGGGGTGTTTTGCGATGGTTTGTTGAATTGGATGGGTGATGGGCACGGTGGAAATGGACAGAACGGCATGGAAGGAATGAAAAGGCAAGGGAACAAAATTATGGGAGCGTGGACGTGGCGGAGCCTTGGTTTGGTTGGCTTAGTTTGTTTTGGCTAGGACTTGGGTTTGGCTAGGCTTGTGTTTCGGCTTGGTTTTGGGGTGGATAGGTTTCCTCCGGCCTACATTTATCAGTATGGCGAGGGAGTTGGTCGAGAGAACGCGTTTTGCCAGATTTGATGCATTTCGTACTTGGTAATAGCAGAGACACGTTTCGCCTTGAGATTGCAACATACACACAGTTGGAGGCATTTATATAGAGCCAGTTGCAAGCAGGCCACTCGTCGACATTGAGCGTAAACAATGGTAAACTGAAGGAGGCATCAGGCTCGGCTCTTTGGCAACAAACTTGATTGCTCATGGGAATATGTCGGGGTTTCGTTGGCACCGTGTCTGGTGAGAACTGCTTTTTGCCAGAGAGCCTGAAGTTTGGCATTTAGAGCCCCTCGTGAGGCTTAACCGCGCAGAAGTTTATGAACAAGCCTTGGCCCCGGTTTTGACGTGCGACCGTCAGGGGTCACAGGTGAGCCAAAAGGGAAGATGTGGGTGTTTCGGTGTTTCCCACAAAAGGAGCCCTGAAAAAGGACGGATTCCTTTGCTTTCTCTTCCCAACTCACACCTAAAAAGGGAACAGCCAACCAAGGACAAGCCCGTGCTGTATCCATGAAGCCGATGCGAGGACCCAGAACATGGCGCAGTTCTGCGCGCATGGCAGCCGAGCTGACTGCCGCCCCTGGGCTGCGGTTCTCGGAGCCGGGTTAGCCAGGAAGACGTATGGCCATGGGGCATATCCGATGGCTCCATTTTGGGGTGCATGAACATCCATTTGCCACCTATTTTTGATGCTCACCAGAAATACAGGGTTTTGACCCACAGCCATATCTCCACAGCCCGGCAACAGCATTTTGGGTTGCGCAAAGTCAAAGCTGAGTGGGTGGCGGTTTCAGCGCTGAGGCGCCTCCACTGGCTTCATGTCAGCTTGCGTGCAGGCCTTAGCTGGGAGGTCTCGAAGGTTTGACTTGGCCGGTTCAAAGGCAAGAGGCGGACCAGACTCCATGCCGGTCGGGCATGGCCTAGGCCAAGATCCATTTCCGGAAGGTCATCAAGCCCTGGACAGATGAGTCGTCGTGCCCTCAGCGTTTGTATGATAGGCAGCATCTCACCTTTTAGGAAAGCTCCTCATTTCGAGGTATATTATATGTATATATATATATAAACATCATGTGGCAGGGTTCAATTACCAATCTGCACGGTCCAATTCCTTTTCTCAGTGCTCTATGCTTTCCAATCAACTGCCGGTTCCCAGCTAGTTCAACCAGGCTGGGAGATTGCTCCTACCTGGACACCTGCCTGGAGCTCGAAAATTTGCTGTGAGACTTGGGACTTAAAACATCTGGCAAGCCATGCTTCGAGGCTTTGATGTCCTTGAGCCCATCCGATGTTTGGTACACCCCTGCCATGGCAGCGAGGCCGGCACATCGAGAAGTGCAAGTACGTGCACTACGCGCCTGGCTCCTCGTGACCCTGGCATTTGGACTGTTTTTAGGGGCCAACTGGGGAAGCTTCCAATCAACAGGCCACTTGGGCGTTGACTTTGATGGCAAAAAGTCGGCACGGTTGGATGGAACTTGTGCCGAGGCTGGACTTGACAGTCGAGCAGACGAGATACTTGAACGATCGTGGCACGGGCCTCACCGTCAGGAGAACTCGCTTGCATGTCAAGATGAGTTAAGCTGTGGACGATTGCTTTGACCAAGCTAACAAGTTGGCCTCATGGCGTAATTGCAGGAGTTGAATGATATACGAGGTTTGGGGACTGGGCTGGGCGTGCCAGGTGTGCACAACAGAGGCACCGACACCAAGCGAATCAATGAGCTGGTTATGAAGGGCATCAACCTCCCAGCGCCGTTTCCTCGGTGCTTTGCGTGCAATGTTGAGCTCTTGTCAGCAACCGGCCTACACAGAGTCCTTCGTTTGGCTTGCTAAACTGCAGGGTGGTTGGCCAACCGAAGCAGCACATGCTTACAGAGTTTCCACGGATCGGATTTGAGGCTCAAGCACACACACACACACAATAGGGGGTGGCTGTTGGGGAAGCACAGCCTATGTCGAATCTCCGGTTTGTCCGCTGCCTGGAAAAGGCCTTTGACTGGCGCGCTGCTCGCGAATGGTTTAGAGGAATGCTATCCTGCGACGTTATGGCGGCCGCAGCGCGGCAGAAAGCGGCCGAGGAGGCCCACTTTGAATATGAGCCGACTGTTGGAGAGTCTGATGCAACAGCTGCAGTGGCCACAATCCACCTGATGCGCGACCGGGTTGACAATTTGGAGCAGGTGGAGGAAGCGGAAGCCAAACTGCAGGCGGGTCAGGTGTGCCTGGTGTGGCAGCAGACCAGGTTCTGGGCGCAGCAGAAATTGGGGCAGAAACGTTGAATCGCTGAGAAAAGAGATCCAGAAGCTGGTGGCCAAAAAGGAGCAGATGAGCATACTCCATGCTCGACTAATGAATCGGAAGGCGTGGATGACAAGGTTTCGGGTTTGCGTATTTATTTTCGCAAGCAGTGTGACAACAACGACAAGGAGCGAGCGAAGGCAGACCAGCGGGAGAAGCGAGCCAGGCGAGAGCCGAGCCCCTTTGCTGGTTCTCAATAAGTGAGCAAAGCAGTCGGCTCTGCAGCTCTTCCAAACTGAAGAGGAAGCTCAGCCGAAACGAGCTTCCACGGAACCTTCCATCAGGACTTAGCAAAGTCTTCTTGGTGGGACCCTTTGTTGTTGATGACATGCCGTGCATTGCAGAGGGTGGATTTTGCTACTGCCAGTCTCGCGGCTATTTCCATGGGGAAGACAATTGGCAACTTGCGTTCCGTCAGCCGAATCGATCGTGTGCTATGAAGCTCGCTATGAACGAGCTATGCTCCCTCTATAAATATACATAAAATGCCAGCTTCAAAAGATGCTTCAAAGCCCGCAACACATGCAGAGAGATTGGCCAGTCTGGCACACGGTTCATGGATTCATGCGATACATTTTCAGACGCCGGCTGACAGAGTGACTGGAGGAAGCACAATTTACCTCCTGACCCATTGTCCAAATCGAGTTGAGCTTACCCCTGAGCAATCTCGGCGGAAGTAGGTTTGTTTGTGCCTCTGCGTCAAATGTCAAGCCATTTGTAAGATGGCTTCATGTGTTCTCATAGCATGACTAAATGTCCGATTTTGGATAACCCTGTGCCGCAACGTTGCCAGCCGAGGCAATGGATACATTGCGACATGAGGTCGTTCCCGCTGTCCATTTTCAAAGGTGCGACTCACGTGCAAAGATGTTGAGAGCGGCTTTATCCATGACTGTGATACTCGTGCATGGGCTGGTATCATCCTTTGAAGCAACTGATAGCTTGGATTAGCAGTCATGCATTGACTCGTGGATTGAGCTTTGGCTTTCAGGAAGCTGTTAAAGCAGCTAGCCCCTGCAAAGCAGACGTTAGGACCGCTTGAATGCAGGGGCAGCTGGGGTCCCACAGTGAAGCCATGAGTAGTTCCTGTTTGATCCTAGAAGTAGTTAGAGTTTGCATATTGCCGCGCTGTAACAGTTGTCCAACATGGTTGATCCATGTGGAGAATCCTGAAAGGCCCGTTCAAAGAGAGAAAGACGATGCATTCTCCGTGCTATCCCGCAATAGAAGATGCCTGGGGTTGGTCAACCGCAGGCTCACGGGAATCAAGACTCGCAGCCTCCAAGTTTGCTCAAAGAAACGCTGCCAGGCCTTATCAGCGTGGTCATGGCAGACCCTCCCTGGGACATCCACATGGAGTTGCCCTTTGCCCGGGCGGGGTTGGTGTGAGAGAAGACAGGCCAACCAACACTGTGGCCTTCTCACCTGTCATATTCTCAGCGGTTTGACTGTATTTGCTCAGGGGGCAGCTGTCTCAACGTTGAAGATGTGGTTGATTGAACAGGGGCTGGGGACACGCCATGTCAGACTCTTTTCAACCTGCGAGCACTGTCAACCATCAGACAGCGCCTTTGCTCTTCTGTCGTGCAACTAGCAAAACTCCTGTATCACTGAACATATTCGGGACAAGTGCAGTCCTGGTACAAACAGATGTATGCCGGCCTTTGTTTCACCTGTGCTTTTTGCTGTCCCTGGCAGTTTGCTTTTCTGAAGGGCACCCTGCATAGCAAGGCCCCTTGCGACAATAACTGACCATGCGGGCTCTACTGAGGCCGTATGGCACGCTCACGGATGAAGAGGTGAAGAACCTGAATGTTGGTGACATCCACGAGCATGGGCAGTAGCCTTACAGGAGCGTGGAGGCAGGCTAATGTATTGGCAGATATTTTGTGTACACTGATTTGCCAGCATTTGCCTGACCTGTTTTGGATTTGTATCCGCTGCCTGGATACTGGCAGCTGTAATCCACTCACAAACGGATACATGCATCATATATATATATAGACATGACTATACACACACATGCATATGTGATATACATGTATATAATACATATCCATACACATGGGGACACAGATGCATAGACACGAGGTACATAGATACATAGATACATGGAAACATAGCTATGTAGCCACATGGCAACATGCATGCGCAACTCATGGATACACAGCTGCTTAGATACATAGACTCATAGATAGATGCGTAGATGAATGGATGCATGGATGCATGGATGCATAGCAGCACGGTGCATGAAGACATAGGAACATAGGCACAAAGATGCATAGACATGCAACTGCAACCCCACAGATGCTTGGATGCATAGTTGCGTAGCTACAGAGCTACATAGCTATACAGACGCACAGCTACACGGATAAGTAGATGCATGGATATATAGCGGCATAGCTCAGCAGATACATAGATACCTAGCTACACAACATAGATGCCTTGATGCATTGATGCATAGATTGATGAGTGGATGCATATCTAGCATAGCTACACAAACACATAGGTACATAGCTACATGGCCACATAGCTGCACGGATACATAGACATATAGCAGCCCATAAATACGTAGATACATGGGCACACAGATGCATTGCTTCATATAATCAAATATACACACAAACACCAGATTCATGAATAGACTGATACATGGACCGGATGCATCGATGCTGAATAGATGCACGGATATGGACAGACATGGGCATATAGATGCACGCACCATACATACACAAATGCACGGATACATACTTTGCGCAGACACACGGATACATACACACGGAGATAGGCCCCTTGATGCAGAAATGCCTCGGTACGAGAACATCCAGATGCATAGATGCGTATCATGTATCTATAGATAGATAGATAGATAGATAGCTAGATAGATAGCTAGATAGATGCACAACTACCTGCCAGCCTCCCGACATACGCACACCTTGCCAACCCTTAAACTCTTCTTGCCATTGTGCTTTTAGAAACCTGGCTCTTTGCCGCGTTCCAGGGGAGCGTCCGCGTCTCTGAGGATGATTTTCCTTTGGGTCACTGGGCGGGCCCGGGTCTCAGTGAGTTCAACGCGCAACGCGGCACTTGGCGCGCGGGGCACCGTGGGGTCATCCATGCGCTGAGGCCATGGAGCTGGCACGGGAGTGCTTCCGCATCTGGGGGTATAAGAGGACGGGCGCTTTGGTGTGAATTGACATATGGGTATGGGTCAAATTAAGCCACCAGATAACCACAGGTTTTAGTCATTGTTTCCATTTACCAGGGGGCCATTTTGGGTACCCATATGGCTCGGCAATGGTCCAAGGGTTGGCTGAATCTGTCAGATGGGAAGGCATCACTTGGATGTAGTGGGCTGTGGTTTCTTGTGCTGGCCTACCGCATCGCGAGGATAGAAGAAATTGTGTGGGTCAAGACCAACCAGCTCCAGCGAATCATTCGCACAGGAAGAACAGGGCACTGGATTCTTGGCCTGTGGAGCATGTGGATGTGTCTTGAAATCAGAGAGTCCGCCAACGTTTTGTTCTTCCGTTTCTTTTCTTTGCCGGTTTTGTTTTTGTTGCTTTCTTTGTGGTCACTTTGCGGCTTTGTCCGTGGCTCAGGTGTCTGAAAGGTTCATCATGTTTTTGGGAGTGTTTGTTTGGTAGGTTGAGACGGAACGTCTTTAAATCTTGCTTTGGTATGTCCAAGGATCAATCACTCCAAGGAACACTGCCGGAGACCAAGCGTTTTGAGAGCGGTGCTGCAGCCACTGGCATAGATGGTGCATCATCAGCGAAGTACAAAAATCATCTCCTTTCCTACTGAGTGTATCCAGCGAAGATAGTTATTCTTGAGCGATCCGATCTTGCACCTGTACCGCAGGTCTGGTTGGCATCAAAGGCAACCCAAAGCTCAACAGGACGGCCCACTGGGCGCCAGCAACCAAGCACCGTGCATGTTGTCCTGGTGGCCATCGGAACATCCGGCAAGGGAGGAGTTTTTCGCGTGGCGAGGGAGCCAGCTTTCCGCAGGGTTTGGTTTCTGATGTATTCTACAGCTAACCCAAAGGGGGTTCCCCAACAAAAGGCGCCTGGTTGAAGTTTGAAGGGTGTGGTATCTGAAAGAGAACCTGCAGTGTTGTGTTCTTGCAGGAACCTGGATTGTGATGTGATCGCCCGGGACCACAGATCAGACCTAGAAGTGTTGTACTTGTAATCAAGAACAGCGAAGAACCTGCAGTTTGGGACACCCTACAAGGACGACGGAAATGATGACGATGGTGGTGGTGATGATGATGATGAGGATGAAGATGACGATGACGATGACGATGACGACGATGATGACGATGATGATGATGATGATGACGATGATGCCGATGATGCCGATGATGCTGCCGATGATGCCAATGATGCTGCTGACAACGAGACGATGATGATGACATTGACGCTGATGATGATGATGATGATGCTGATGATGATGATGATGATGATGATGCTGCTATGAGACGATGAGGATGACACTGACACTGACACTGACACTGACACTGATGATGATGATGATGATGATGATGATGATGATGATGATGATGATGATGATGATGATGATGATGATGATGATGATGATGATGATGATGATGATGATGATGATGATGCTATGAGACGATGAGGATGACACTGACACTGATGATGATGATGATGATGATGATGATGATGATGATGATGATGATGATGATGATGATGATGATGACGATCGCTGACGATGATGACGATGACGCTCACGTTGACGATGACGAGGATGCCAACGATGACGATGACGAGGATGATGACGATGACGATGATTGTGAAGATGATGACCGTGGAGCAGGAGTTATGCACCATGCGTGATAACCATGACATTGTAATGAACATGAGTGAGATGACAATAAAAACAGTGGCAATCCTGTCGACCACGACTCAGAACGATTATATGCACATGTTGGCCATGACAGACAAAGGACGACTACGATGGTCTCATTTTGATGACAATGGATGATGACGATGATGTTGATGATGACCATGTAGGCATGTCGATCATGATGACCACACTGTTGATGATGTTGTGATGCATTGCATGTTGCTATCCACTTGTGTTGAGTTCAGTGCAGAAGCCCGGTATACATGGATATAATTCAACTCGGCATTCTGCAAGACCGCACGCATGACTGAGGTCAGCGAAGTTCGGGAGACATCGCGCAAGCCCGATGAGATCTACAATCTCATTGCCCGGTTTCTCAGCAATTCGGCCCACCTTTGAAGAAGGCACTCAGCGCATTTGAGCTTCAGCGTTTGTCGGCTGAATTTGAATTGACATTTAGGTTCTGTTGTTCGGATGCGGAGAGACAGGATGTGACAGTGGCAACTGTTCGCAGCACCCTAACTATCACCATCCCCATTCCTAGCGACAGCGCGACTGCTTGCAAAAACTTTGAGCGCTTGAGCATTGTGCTGCCCTTCAGGAGCGAATGTTCCCGAACTGCCAGAAGCTGGAGCTGTTTGGCTCTGGGCCAAGAAAGAACCGTTGGAAGGCTTCTGATCTCCCAAGTTCTGGGCTTTGGGCTTTGGCTTTGGGCTTTTTGGAAAGAACCGTGCTTTGGGCTTCTGATTTTGCATTCATGATCTCCCAGGTCGGCCACACAACGTCCATGAAAATTGGATCACGTGTGGGAATCAGCTGGACGGAGTGCGGCTGGCGGACGAGGAGATCGTCAAAAGGCGAGATGGTCGCCGTCGCCGGCTTTCGAGGAGAGTGGCTCCGGAGAAACTTGCCCATGATCCTCGACTGGTTCAGCCATGCAAAGGGGAAGTTTTGAGCTGAAAGGTGCCACGGGTGACGTGTGTTGGAACAGCATTTTGGCACATTTCAAACAAGAATCCAGAATGTCGGAGGTACAACCAGGAGTTCCCCAACAGCCCAACAACACCATGGCGCTTGGCTCCTAGCGATATGCTCCAGCAGTCAGCTGAGGCGATAGAGCCGTCTGCTTGCATCCCGTTTGCGGGGTTGCGAAGCGCGCGCCTGTCCGTTTCTGCGGGTTTTGCACATTGCTCAACAGGTCCGACCTCAACGGTTGTTCCATTGTACCAGCTCCAGGCAGAGCCAAAGACGAGCTCATGGCATATCAAGGAGGCGCTGGGAGTTTGCTGTCGCCTGCGGCTTTCCTTCGACTGAGTTTCCTAAAAATGAGGGATGCCCTTTTGGGCTGGCCGGTTTCAAACAGGACCGAACTTTGCCATGCTTCGCTCGCAAAAGCAGAGGACATTGCATTCATTTTTGGCGGGCTGATGGATATGAGGCAGCCTGTCAACCGCTTGATTGGCCCACTCAGGAAGGCTCTGCAACTTGGCCTGCGCAAGAAGTGCCTTCAAGTTGTGCGCATGATGACTGCCTATCAAGCTTTTGTGAATGAAGAGCTGCCCTTTATCCAAGATGGAATTTTGCTTTTGTGGATAAGGGGCAAGACTCATCTGAGAACACCAAGTGGCAACAGTGCACGTACAAACAGCGAGGAGGATCGGGGACAATACAGTAGATCATGCCTGTGTGCTTGCCATTGCCAGCATACTCGAAGTGCACTGCACCTGGCAATCACGAGAGCTTTCTCTGCGCACCGTGCCAGGTGCTTCTCGCGGTGAGGATGCTCCATGGATTCCACCGTCGCAGGTGTGGACACAGACGTCAGCATCGAACACGCCTCAAGGTGACATGTGCCATGGTCCAGGCAGCAGGTACTTGTAGTTACTCTGGCTGGAGAGAGAGGGTCATCAGTCCTTCAGTTTGAGGAGGGGTTCGTTCATATTCAGCAAGTGCAGTGGCCTACATGGCGAACATGAGAAGATTTGCCTGCACGCCTCTCACTCTTCGCACGCGGCTTTGCAACCGCCCCGAGCAAAGCCTCGCGGCAGGCACCGGCACCCAACGAAGCCGCCGCCCTGAGCAAACGTTTTTTCTCACTCAAACACCGCAGGTTTGGCCCCCGTCGACATTGGGTTTGCTGAGGCCTGGGTGCCACCGGCGCAGGCGGGGCTGGCGGGAAATGCCTGGTATCCCGGCGAACATCTTACACGCGTCTTACCTGTGGGTGGCTTTGATATGAGAGGGATGGCCCCTGCAATTGCAAAGACAACGACAACATTTCCGCCATTCGAGACAATCTCGGCTGGTCTAGAGTTTGAGGATCAGGTATTGAATATCATTTACTGAGTGGATGAGTTGCCGGCCCACCTAAAGTTGAGGGGTGATTTGGGAGCGGGGCGGCCAAGCGACCCTTGGGGTGACCGGGTGACCCTAAAGGAATTGCGAGATGGGTGAACCCATAAACTGGCAGGTAGGCTGTGAAAGGGCAATCCTTTTTCTTTTGATCAAGGATGAAGCGACCTTAGCACTTCAACTGCATACAGGCGAACTTAGCTTGTCTTCGGCAATTCCTTTAGTCGGGGTTCCCTTTTCACATCCCGCAGAAAGATATCCGGTTTTCCCCACAAACTGGGCGAGTCAGAAGAGCTTTCAGGTTTTTCAATGGCCCCAAACCATGAGGAAATTGATTGGTATACACTTACACTACTTGTAGTTTGGTGTGTCTTGTTTTGATCGCACTCGTTTTGGGGGTCGCTTGAAAGGGACATAAATGAACCCCACTCCCGCGTGATGTTTGCTCGGCTAGACATCCTCTCAATTCAAAAGAGGGCAATTCTCCGGATAGCCAAAGCACCCCCAAATTCCGAACATTGCCGAAACCTGCCCAGCCACAGCGCTTCAAGGCTGATTGCAGAGGCAGAAGCTTGTTCAGAACATCAATAGAAAGCATCAGCAGCCAAGAAGAGGTTTGCCATGGCAAGGGAGATTTCGGTGCGACAGCTGTCTGGTACAAATGAGGCATTCGAATTCCTGCCCGACATGACTCTCCGCGAGTTTAAGAAGCAGCTGCACGGGTGGCTGCCCTGCGCAGATGAATCAAAGCGCAGCATGAGCTGTGTGGAGGTGGTTGTTGGGGACACGCCCTTGTTAAACAACGAGGAGATGCTGTCGGAAGTCATTCCAGGTGCAGAAGTTCTGGCTTTCCTCAGCATCAAGCCGGTGACGTGCTCAAGCTTTGTAACGGCTGGCTGCGACCCTGACGATATTCGTGTGGTGGAAATTCCAGGGGGCAAGGCTGGAGTTGGACTATGTGCCTTCCAAGGTTGCAGCTCATTGGCAAGCGTGACCATTCCAAACTCTGTGACAGTGATAGCATATTGTGCCTTCCAAGGTTGCAGCTCGTTGGCAAGTGTGGCCATCCCCAACTCCGTTACTCACATAGGAGCTGTTGCCTTCCAAGGTTGCAGCTCATTGGCAAGCCTGACCATCCCCAATTCTGTCACTGAGATTGGAGAATCTGCTTTTGGAGGTTGCAGCTCATTGGCAAGAGTTGCCATCCCCAACTCTGTCATTAAGCTTACAGATAATTCCTTCCAAGGTTGCAGCTCGTTGGCAAGCGTTACCATCTCCCACTCCATAAATGTGATAGCAAATCGTACTTTCCAAGGTTGTAGCTCACTGGCAAGCGTTGCCATTCCCAACTCTGTCACTGAGATTAGAGAATCTGCCTTTGAAGGTTGCAGCTCATTGGCAGTGGTGGATATCCCCAATTCTGTGACGGAGATTGGAGAACGTGCTTTTAAAGACTGCAGCTCATTGGCAAGGATTGCCATCCCCAACTCTGCTACTGCAATTGGAGAAGGTGCTTTTGAAGACTGCAGCTTATTGGCAAGCGTGGACATCCCCAATTCTGTCAGTGAGATTGCAGAGAGCTCCTTCCAAGGTTGCAGCTCATTGGCAAGCGTTACCATCCCCGACTCGATATTTGTGATAGGATATTGTGCCTTCCAGGGTTGCAGCTCGTTGGTAAGCATTGCCATCCCCAATTCTGTTACTGAGATTGGAGAATGTGCCTTTAAAGACTGCATCTCATTGTCAATCGTGACCATCCCCGACTCTGTTGCCATGATCGGAAATGATGCCTTTGCCGGCTGTAGCTACGTTTTGCCAGAGACAACACGACACAAACTGGACTGCGATGGGAGTCTTTGGTGGGACCTCGGCCACGCCTGTTGAACAAAATATGTTCCGCCTTGCTCCTGGCTCTTTGGAGAGTGTTCAGAACAGGGGACAGTGGTTGTATAATGGGATCAGTGATGGTGAGAGGTACACGGCAAAGGGCCACCTTCGTCCGAGACAAGTATTGGCCAGCTCCTTCAACTGGTCATGGGGCGACAGATTACGTGGATTTGCGGGCGGGATGACCCACCTAAACGAAGTGGAGGAGGGCAAGGCTGACCCACACCTCAGCTGTATTCTCACGACTTGCGGAAAGCGAATCGACCGGATTTGACTTTCTCAATGAATGATTGATCCGAGCTGCTTCGTCGCTTCGTTCAGGTGCAGCATTTGGTTGCGAGTGATTCCTTTCACCAACTTGGATTGCGTGGTCAGTATTTGTTGAGCCACGGCGAAAGGAGCTCTCGGAGCGGTAGATAATTTTGGGTCGACCTGGCCCAAACCTATAGAATAACTATGTGCACCTACTCGTGGTTGGGACTGTGTGCTAAGCCTTCCTTTCGCCGTGGTTTTGATTGTATCTCCCATGGCGCTGTTTGCAAGTGTCGTTCCAAAAGAAGCTAACACGGAGTCTCTTTCCATGTACAGTTGACAACCATTTCGAAGACACGAACGAGCATTTACGGCATGTATATATTTTGTTAATGTTGAAACGCATGTGGAAACATGAACTGTGTTTGAAATGCTTGACCATAATGGCCCCGGCCATTTTGGCTCAAGCTGTGCTCTTGGGTTCTCTGAACCCAACTTTGTGGAAAATTTGCGGGAATAACTTCCGAACCAACCCCGAACAAGCAATGGCCTCCTCGGCGACTTCGGCAACTTCCTTCGAGTTGATTGAGGACCAGGCGCTCACCGCGGAGGAGGTGGAAATGGCCAGCCAGGAGGCCCAGGAAGTCCGCGCACGCGAGGCGGCTGTGGCGGCCGGCCTGGTGTTGGATGAGCCCGAGGCGCCCCCGTCGGCATCGGCCACCGATGTGATGAACGACCTCTCCAGTGCACTGGAGCGGCTCCGTGTGGCCTTCTCCACACCGACTCCCGTGGCGGCCGCCCAGAAGACCACGGCCCCGGTGAACAAACCGGTCTCCCTGGTGCCGGTGGACGGCCGTCCGGGCTATTTCAAGCTAGTGGACCTCCCAGACCTCTTCCCGGTCCTTCCGGCATCGGCGGCCACGTTGCTGAGGGACGTCACGGTGGAGGAGGCGGTCTCCCTGTTCCACAAGTTTGTCGGTAAGAATCTCACGGAGGACTTGGTGGTTCGCATCCTGGAGGCCTATGTTCCGATGAAGATCCAGATCCGGCAGGAGGAGGTCTGGGCCTCACAGTTCCAGCGGAATAAGGCATGCATTGGCACCCAGCGGACGCACAGACTCGATGCCGGCCACTCGGACTACAAGTTCATGTGTAAGGCATGCGGCACGGGGTGGCCGGAGGCAGCCAATCAATGCTGGGTCTGCCCGGGCAAGGAGTTTGTCCCCTTCCAGGCACCCTCTGCTACCTACGAGGCGGACGGCGTCACGTACAACCTGCCTGCATGCCTTTTTGGAGTGGCGCCAGGATTGCCATCTCATTGTCCAGCATCTCATCCGTGACCAGCTCCTTGTGCCGCTGTCTGGCCAAGGACTCCTCCGGGGTCGATTCCCGGTGCTCCGTCAAGGCCTTGTGCAGCTCTTCCTTCTTCCAAATCGCCCGGTCCACCTGGGGGTGGTAGAGCTGGAAGCTCTGAGCCTCTGCCTCCTGCAGGGACCGCTGCACCTTGACCTTGACCTCCTGGCGCTCCCGGACCTTCAACGCCTCATCGTCCGCCTCCATGGACAGGATCTCCTGCCGGATATCCACCCGCCTGTTAAGCGGGACCACGTCAGCCATGGTGATCTTTTCTGCCATATCCGTTTTCGGAGGAGCTCTCCCCAGGATCGTGCCGTCCACCAGGTTGCGGTCTGCCTGCGCCCGGGTACCACCGGGGCCAGTGGCACCCAGGCTTCCCCCATCCCGCTGCTGGATCCATGTCGGCTTGCCCTCCACAATGAGCCCTGCCGGCAGAGGAGGTGGCCAATGAGGGAGCCCGGGCCCTCAGAAAGGTAAACCTGGAGCGATTCAAAGCCAAGCTGCGAGATCAGTACCTGGAGGGTAAGGGTGTCGACGCCAGCCAGGCACTGGCGGATGCGATGGGCTCCATTCAGGAGGCGCAGGAGGCGAACAAGCGCACCCAGGACACCAACCAGGCGTGGATGCTTAACCACACCCTCCAGCCCTTGGAGGTGTCGGCATGGCCAGATGATCTCAGGCAGGCTCTGGAGAGGGGGCTGTTCTGCCCCCTGGAGCTGGATGACCCCGAGGACATCCCCAACGTGGGGGACATTAAGGAGAAGTACGTCCCCTACATCCAGAGGCTCAGAGAGGCGCAGAACCCGTGGAACCAGGAGGCGTTGCTGGAGGAGATGTCCTTGCTCCTCTGGGCGATGAAGAGGCACCAAGGGGAGCTACGGATGTTTGGGGGGAACTGGAAGAAGCACTCCAGCGGCGAAATCCCCAAGGGCGCGGACCAGCAGTTCAAGCTCTCGCCGGAGGAGCTCCTGGCCTTGGAGCGCAGGACCCACCCACTCACGTGTGAGAGGGACCACATCGACCCGATCATCTACTCGGCCTTGGAGATCCGAGCGCAGGTGAACCGGGGGGAGCGCCCGGCGCCGGAGCAGGTGGTGGGGATCTTCTGGGCCAAGGGCGATGGCGTGTTTTGGACGAGGCAGACTCGCACGTGGGACCTGCCGAGCTTGACGGGGGTGTACGCCCACCGATTCACCTTCAAGTACATCTACTCGGCTTGGACCACATTCCCGCTAGTCGTGAAGACGCAGCGACGGGGTCGCAATGCGGAGGGCTCGGCTTCGGATAAGTGGATGGGGAACATCCTGCAGATGCGGAAGGAGGCGGTCCCCTTCCTGGAGAGCCTGGGCATCCCCAAGCCGCGCAGTAAGGCGGAATGGAGCTACATCTTTAAGGAGATGGGGACGTTTCTGGCAGCCAAGAACTTCATCGTCAATTGCCCATTGCCGGTGATGGAGCTCCCAGTGGCCCCCGTCCACGACAGCAAGGAGGCCCTGCGTTTCAGGGCGGTCTGTGACGAGCGCATCACGCTCCCGCTGTTGTCATTGAGGGCTTTTGACTCGGTGTACACCAAGCTGGTTGCAGGACTGAGTAAGTCCTCCATGGTGGAGATCAAGGTCAACTGGCGTTGCAACGTGGTCCATGACTGGGTAGGCGGCGGGGGCCCTGTACGACCGTCTGGGCTACTCCCAGGACCTGATCACGCAGCTGGGCTGCTCCCCCCCCTTGGGTGCCTCTGGCCCCGGGGGCGGGGCGGCCAAGGAATCGGACCCCAAGGCCAAGATTCTGGCGGGAGAGGACACCTCGCTCCGCACGCCGGACCAGGGCACCAGAAGGTACCCCCCGATCACCGCGGCCACGGTCACGGCGGTCGCGGGCAAGAAGTACAACCAGCATTTCCCGACGGGTACCAAGCACGTGTTTTGGGCTTCGGTGGAGTGCGGCCTCGTCCTGCCCAGCATCAGCGCATGGGAAGTGGTGGGCAAGGAGAAGTTCAAGACCACCGGGGGCTACATGTGCAGGTTCTGCAAGGGCTTCTGGAAGGCGAGCCGTGGGGGCACACGGCTGCTCCAGATTGCGGGGTGGCACAAGGACAAGGCCACCTGCCTGCAGCTGGTGATGGACGAGCCCCCCGAGCAGCTATATAATCAGTGGATCCGGGACAGGATGGAGTTCTACAAGCGGGTTGAGCCGACGTAGCCCCCCAGGGACGAGCGGCTAGTCCTTGGAGATCAGGGTTGGCGGCCATCCACTCGGTGGCAAAGGAGGCGATCTTGAAGGGTCCCTACCCTTTTGAAGTTGGCGTAGTATATTCACTCCCCACCGGGACTTGGGTGCCTCTGGCCCCGTCTTGGGTGGGGGGAGGTGTTGGGGTGTTTCCCTTTTTGGGGTTCTTTGTTCGCATTGGTCTCCCCCCTGTTTCAACACGCCACGACTGCCGGTTGCCTCGAACCGGAGGCTGCACAATTTGGCTGCCCCAAGGACGGGCCGTATCGGCCACTGTTTGAAGAAAGTGGCTGCGGCCGAACCTGGGTTCCCTGGGGGTTTTCTGGGAATCCCCCGTCGGGTTGGTCTTCCCCCCCTTCCGTGGTTCCTGTTGGGGATTTCGGGGGGGGTTTGACTTCTGGGCCCTGTTGGGTTGCGTGTGGCCTGCCTGCCCCATGTGCACTCGGCATTCTGTGGGGTTGGAACATTCGTGCAGTTCGCCGCGGTGGGGTCCCGGCCGTTCGAGGGAGGCTCGAACCCTTGTTTTCAGCATGGCTAGGATCTCTACACAGTTTCTGTTGCGCCCGCCTTACACTCGTCTTTGGGACCGCATCCCAAGGGTCCTTTGGGACACGCTGGCGGATGAGTCTATCTCCCCGAGACAGACAGACGGGGAGCTGCTGGTCCTGATGTGCCTGCGCCATGCCACGGCAGAGGAGGGGAGGCAGCTGGGCGGGGAGCCAGCCCTCCGATTCGCTCCACTCCTGGAACTCTCGGGTATTGCGGTGGACCAGGCGGACCAAGTGGTACTACTTCAACGGCCTGGTGGCGTTGGCGGCGGGCAGGCTTCCCCAGCCTTTGTCCGCGGGGGACCTGGCCGACCTTTGGGATAGCCTATGGCTCCTCCTCATGGCGGTTGCAGACGGCAAGCTCAGCGAGCACTTTTCCCCGCTGGAGAATGAGTGGGACCGCCAGGACCAACTGAGGTGGTTCTCGCGAGATGACCCACCCCCACTCCAACAGCCGGAGCTTCTGAAGTGGCGTCACTGGAGGCCCGGGAAGATCAGGGAAATGGAACCCACGACTCAGCGAGCACTGGAACTCCATATGCGCGGGAAATGGGCGGAACGGCTCCTTGCCCACTTCGCCCCCTTTGCGGAGCACATTGCATACATGCAGGACAT